AGCCGTCAATCATAGCCAGATTCACCTCGGCCTCGGTTATCTTCAGCTTCAACTTTTTCCGTCGCAGCGCTTGCTTGAAGTGAAACAAACAGCCCACAATTGTAGAATCAGGAAACTGGGTCTTGACGGCCTTGATGAGTGCGTACTCAAAATCAAACACCACGTGAGTTGGGTGTAACTTCTTTTTGAATGCGACGAAAATTGAGTGCAGCAAGTGCTCGTAAACTTGAGATGGATTCCCCGTAATTAACACGTACCAAATTGGGAGATACAGGTCCGAAATTGGGTCGTAGAGTATCAAAATTACCAGCTGGTAAAAACGAATAGGCACACATCGGTAGGTGGCATCGATGAAGATGGAGCAGTGTCGTTGCTTGATGCAGTCCATTATCTGCGGATGCGCCCACCCAATAATGCGATGTAGGACTTCGTCTTCGTAGTACGCATAGTGAAACTGGAAAACTTGAGACCAGCCAAATTCTTCACGTCGCAAAGTAGTTCCATCTCCAGGCGCCCGAAATGTCGCGACCAAAATGTTTAGTTCTGGTCCTGTACAAACGACCCAAAACTTGGTTTTTGGTCGCGCCTTCGACAATGACATTGTTAGTCATCGAGAAATTGGTCTCTCACCATTCTCCATACATCGTTCGGGGGTAACGTTACATCTCGAATCCCAATTTGGTCCGTCGCAAGCAGCATTTGCTGCTTCCAGTTGACGAAAATTGTTGGTGGCCCCGACGGAACTTGACGCATTTCTGGGACGCAATTTGGTTTATGGGTCCCTTGCACCACCGCACGCAATTGCGTCACGTACAGCTTCACGTTGCACTTGGTCCGTCGATAAACGCTGCAGCGGTAATGCTTTGTGTCGTCTCCGTGGTAATAGGAGTAGGAGTACCCTTGATACCGCACTGATCTTGACCCGGGGAGGTTGACAACACCGTCGGCAAGGTCGCCACCAGCATCCCTGTTGACAGCTTCAACTTGAAGACCATCATTCTCGTCCCTGTCGGAGTTGGATAATTGACTCGGTATAATAACCGTATCCACGCTCATGTCAGAGTCGTGATCAGAACCGTGGATGTGAGTGTCCCGGTCACTGTCGGAGTGGATATCAGAGTCGGGACCAGAACAGTCGGATTGGCTATCAGAGTAGCGATAGCTTGAGCCGGGTCCATCCGAATGACGGGTGTCGGATGGCGAATCGCTGGAAGAATGCTGGTCGGCCATCTTGATTGACGCGGTGTGGAGGGGGGGGGGCTTGGAAGAATTGACAGCGAGGTCTTTGGAGAGGGGTCTTGCTTCGACAGACCCTTTATGCGATGATACACGCGGTCCTTGGACGTTTTCATTTTTCATTTTGTTGTAGCTAAAACAGAAGTGCATGTTCCAAATTTGTACATCCCAAATTGTGGTTTTGTAACGGCATTAGCTCGATTTATTTAGTATTGAAATATTGAACTGTTCGGATAGGTTACAACAAAGTTAATATTTATATTTACTGATTAAGAATGCATTATGATAGGCGAAAATATTCTACCTGTCTGTGATGAAAAAAATGACCATTGGTTGACCTTTGGCGAGGGTTAAGGAGAGTTGATCCAAATTTGACCCAAAAAGCGAGTTGCGCAGGATTTGACTTGCACCAAATTTGACCCAAAAAAATCTCCAAAACTTCCGATGAGCGTCTCTGTTGCTACCAACCTGGCGGTGTATGCTTTGGTTGTCAGTAATACGTTCCTCGGGTGGTGGAATACTACTGACAGGGCCTCCGAATATGGCATTTTTATTTAGTAGACAAAGGTAAACAACATACATTATGCGTTATCTTCTCAATACTCTAGCAAATAAGTTATGTCATTGTACGATGACGGCAAAAAAAATAAAGAAGTAACGGGGACCACTAAAATGTATTACCTTATTTCTCCATTGAAAAACATTTACATGTACATCAATTGATGCTGTTGACCGTGCTAGAATCCCAATAACCACGGTTCCCACGGAGGAATAAGATCATCTCCAGCGTTGCAGGTAGCAACCCGTGCCTTTGGTGGCTAAATGTCACCCGCGCCGCACTAAAAAAGCGTTCCACCACGTTAGACGTTGGTGGAATCGTCTTTAGCTGCTCGTAGGGCACAGCGAGTTCGGCAATCCGGCGGCGCTTGCGAAGTCGCTCCACAAAACGAAAGATCTTCGTCGTCCGATTCCGCCGTTGCGTCGACGGCCAGCTTTGCGAAAGGACCAAGGGCAGTTTTCTCCGCACGCGTCAGGCGGTCCTGTCGGCCACTCAGAACACGAACACACCCTGACTCAAAGTCAGGGCTGTGAACGATTTCAGCTCTAGAGCCTATTTAAACATAATATACAATAACATTAGAGATACAATAAAAAAATAAAAACTAATCATTAACGTACCGAGATGTGTCTCGAACTGTGGCTTTAGAGCAATAAGCTCGTCAAACCACTGTCGGACATCCTGCAAATCGACGTCACGACCTTGAAGCGCCTTGGCGACGGATTCTACGTCCTTGAGCCCCTTAAACAAGGCTCAGAGGCGCTTGTTCGACGCAGGCGAGGGCAGGACCTCCATGATATCGTCATCGTCTGCATCCAAGAATTCGAGTAACTGGAAATAGCGCTTCAACATTCCAAAAGTGGAGCTCCAACGGGTGTCCTGACGAATTACAGGTTGCAGCTCAGTTTTAAGACTATCAAGAATTAAAAAAAATAAAAACAAAAAAATGGTTTTAGAAAACAAATATATCATCATACAAATTATAAACAATTACGCACCGAAGTTTTGCGGACTGGGTGAGCGTCCTCAACTTGATCATCAATGCCTGAACTGCTGCCAGGTCATCTTCGTGTTGAAGTAGGTATTTTTGCACTGCTCGGTTCAACCGGTGACTAGCGCATCCAACAAGGGGTACTCCCATGATCGTAGCTAGCAAACGGTTGGCTTAGCAGCTGTCACCTACGATTAAGCGACACTGGTCGATCTGCGCTCCGAAGTCTCTTGGCAACATCGTCGCCAAGAACTCGTAGTGCGACCTGGCCGAGAGGCCATCGGCCGGCTCATTCATGAGCGGAGCCATAGCCAACAACGGGGTAACTAGTACCCCGTTGACCTCGTAACATGCGAACCAGGCCACGTAGTGCTCTGAAGCATGAGTCCACCCGTCGAACAGAACTCCAAAGCGCGCTGGAAGCTCAGCGGCAAGTTTGCGCTCAATCGCACGAGTCACGCCTTCCATTCCTGCTCGCAGCGTCTCCACCGAGATGGGATCAAGGTTTGTATACCAGCACAAAGTAAATACTCAGAATCCGAATGTATAGTAACTACAATATACCGTCTTGTGGCTCAATTCTCGCAGAAAGCAAGGGGAAGATTAGACTCCACGATCCACAGCATCCAGCCATACAGGTTCCTTGAGGAGTGTCGCACGAAATTTACCATGGAGCCCGTGTCGACCGTTGTAGCGTCTAGCATGACGGCCTCATGTGATAATTGATTTTCTGTACCGGTATGATATCATAATTTATTAAAGGTTCTCTTAAATAATAATTTTCACAGCAACCAGTCATTCTCGGGCCACCGATCGACTCCAACCTTCTCTCCTCAATTGTCAGCTATTTTGCATTTTCGTAGATACGTCTCACCTGCTTTTCGCCACTCTTGTAACTACCATGGTTCGAGCCACACGACCCGGCAGCGCCTATACCAGCGCCCAGATCTCGGGGTTCTACTTCCGACCGTGCCGTGACGAGTATGACGAGGTGATCCTCGAATACTTCCGCTGTCGTAGCGGCACGGTTCGGAAGCAAACCAACCGCAACGGGTTTAGCAACCTAATGCAACATATCTTGCGTCAGCATCCCGACCATGATCAGGTATAGACCCTTGAAATAAATAATTTACTAAGAATTGTGGTAAATAATGTTATCTATATATAAGTTGCTAACGCCTCCCCTCCCTTCACTATGGGGTACCGTCAACCACCTGTTTACAGAGCTGTCACGCTCCTTCGGGCTGTTCACTGGCTGAGCGTGTGTCAGCCAATCAAAGTGGTGAGATTCGTATAGGCTGCTCTGTGGACACCCCTTTATTAGTGGGCGGTGTCAGTAGGCTATTTTAGAGGATGCAGTATGCTAGGTAAGAGGATATATGACAGGGCGCAGGGATTTGAAGAGGTGTCCTGCCAGCTCGGCTTAACACTGTTCAAAGAGCCCCGCTTAGCGGGGCTCCGCTCGGCTTGTGGTAATGTATATTTCGTCAGTAGTCTACTGACGAAATATGGAATTGGAGCTCTGTAAACGTGTCTTCTCTACCAAATCCACTTGTGATGGCAGACTACTTGAACCTGACCGGTAATATGTCAGCGACTCTTCTTTCCTGAGCAAAGCCCACGAAGTTATTGTAAACTACTACAACAAAGCTGAAAATGCAAGTACAACGGATGACTTGGCCAAGTTGGAGTTTTCGCATGTTGATACGTCCGAGACAACGGTGCTTGATGCTCTTACTATTGAGATTCCGCTTCAAATGCTTGGTTTTCAAGATGACAATTCGTCCAGCTCAAATCCGTATTACCTGACGATATACGACGTCCTATGCAATCGTGAGGTTTGCCTAATGCCCAATATGCAGGAATACACCGGAACTGGAACTACGACAACTATATATCCTCGAGTTCAAGCTCTTGCCATAAGCTTGAATGACGGAAACGAAGATCGGACGGTAGATACCGACTACTTTCGAGCGGAGGAAGTCATGCAATCCTGCAAACAGCGTTCAAATTCTTCCATGATCGTTGTAAGTGTCGGGAAGCGTATTGAAGGTGATGCATTCAAACTGAATTCAACGGGTGCCAATGCCGCTGGTCGACTTGTCAATGCTCGCATGGTGTACTCGTCTATCGTGGAAAGTAGAGAATGTGGCTTCCGTATATGGTGCAAATTGTGCTAGTGATGCCGGTTGTGACGGCATTCGGTTCCCTTTGGAAAAATCCGGTAACGGGTCAACCACAGACGTGTTACTGGTTAGTTACACTGGTATCCCGACAAGCTTGTTGAGCCCCATTAACATGAATATCTACTGGTACTCGGTGGGTACAACGCAGTGGACGATATTGGCATCAACCGTGGAGGAGACACGAGGAGCGGCGTTGACAACAGAAACCAGACCAGCACTTATGGTGTTACCACGGAATTTCGAGGTTGCTAACACGACACTCGCGGAGTATATGACCGAGTTTGGGAGCTGTGAGATGTTCATCGACAAGTATATTCACCAAGTCGAAAAGAATCACCTCTATATCGAGCACACTCTTCAACCAGCGTACACGGCAGGACTATACGTCATCTTCCAAAACGCAATGGTGCGCAGCCAGCTGCCTTCTAACACTAGCGTCTACAACGACAAAACATCCCTGTCGTTTTCGGGTAATTCTCAGGATATGTATGTCCGAGCCTCAGTCCCATGGACGAATCTGATTCTCACAGTAATGGGCTGCATTGTTGTAGTGGTGGTTGGTGTCTTCGTCGCAATCCTGGCGAAGCAGGAAGAAGATTTTTCCTAAAGTACAGCTCAGCAAGCACTGTCGTCGAAGCGATCACTGACCACGGCAAGTTTCCTCCGTTCTTGATACAAATGCATCTGCGAGATTGTACCACGGCTAACGCACCAGAGCCTCCCCTCGACTCTCTTCGTATTGGTAGTGTGGTTCTGGTCGACAAAGTGAGCCCCACCGAGGAGTATTTCGTCGGTGAAAACGACCATACTGGTGCTGGTGCTCCTGACGTCTAGAACCGTTTGCTGAGGGCGGCGTCACCGTGAAAACCTAAGTCGTCCTTGAAAGCACATACTATCTGAAATGCACAATCGCTTGAAAAAAGCTATTCTGATTGTCGGCTGAAGGATTTGATATATTTCGGTACTGTCGAAGATTTCCTACAGTTAGACCGTTGAATACAACGACTACAGATACTTTAGCCATCTCTCGTCCTCCGGTTCTGCCTCAAAGCACCCCGTTGTAGCTAAATTCGCATACCATTTCGCAGCCGTACGAGCAGTGCGGTTCAAATATGTCGATGGGACAGAGTACACGTCTTTATCGCCAATATTGTCGGGGAAGTCCACGTAGTACAGACCATAGCGAGGTGCGTACGAGCCCCACTCGTAGTTATCCACGAAGCTCCACGCCGTGTAGCCGATGATGGGGATATTTTCCTCGTAGATGGCATGGTGAACCATCTCGAGGTGAGTACGGTAATACCACAATTGATCTTGATTGTCGATAGTCTCGTTGCCACACCATCCGTTCTCCGTCAGCAACATGTCCGCGCTCGTATCGTACGCGTGCGCCCAGCGGATGTACTCAATGTAGCTAGGTGGGAAACCGGAATGATCGGTGCAACTGGTAGGGTTGGCAATACTACCAGATCCGATAACAGAATCATTGTGCACTTGCGTGTTATCAACTCCCATATCGGCGAAATATCCCGCCATAAGAGTAGAGCAGTTCGTTTCGGAATGATCAGAATCACAGTAGGTGATTAGGTTGGAGAAATAATGGTTGATCATAATGAGGTCATATGATCCTTTGACCAGTGCAGCTTCCTCGTCAGTGAAATTCGGTAGACGGCTTCCAACACGCTCGCGCATCATAGGTGGGTAGTCACCGGTGGCGAGTGGGGCGAGGAACCAACCCGAGTTAAACTGGTTGAAGCGTTCAGCTGCCTTCACGTCGGAAGCCAGAGTATCATCATACGGGATGCCGAATCCTGAGAGAACGAGCCCTATGCGAGCGCTGCTCTGGACGGCACCTTGTTCTTGAAGACTCCGGAAAAGCGCAACCATTTCTGCATGTGCCAACAGTAAGTTGTGTGCAGCCTCATACTCGTCACTGTCTGTTCCGGTGTAAATGTAGAAGATGTACATGTACGAAAGCGGCTCGTTGATCGTTGACCAGAACTTCACTTTTTGTCCGAACTCGGTAAAAATGAGTTCCGCGTAGTCCTTGAAGTGGTCGATAATTGACGAGTTCAGGAAATCACCGGCAGAGTACAGCTCGATGGGCATATCCCAGTGAAATAGCGTCAATAAGGGCTCGATCCCGCTTGCAGCGAGGCCATCGACCAGTGAGTGATAAAACGCCAAGCCTTCAGGGTTCGGCTGCATACGTTGAAGCGTACTATTCCAGTTCATGGCCCGCGACCACGAGATTGAGAATCGCATCGAACCGTATCCGTCGCTTTTCATCGTGTCAATGTCATCCTTGTAGCGGTGGAAAAAGTCGTCGGCGACGTTGGCACAGTTGGGGAACGAGTCACCACCGCAGATTTCATCCCAAACGCTGGGCGTTCGACCCGTTTCGTTTACAGCTCCCTCCACTTGGTAAGACGCGGTGGCCGACCCGAAGAGGAAAGTGGAGGGGAAGCATTTCGTGGCACTGTTGTTGGAGTTATCCGACGTTTGCATGGCGATGCTTCCGGAGTTTGAGCTTGCGCTGGAACCAGCGGTGGCAGTGGATAGAGCAGCATACCAGTACAGAATGGATCCGATGGTACGAAGTCCGAAGTGAACCATTTTCGATGTGTCCAATTAGGAGCGAAGTCTTGGACGGATCGTGGGCAGTTGGAGGAAGTTGAGGAAATGATCTCTTCACTCGTACCTTGAGTTCCAGCCCGGTTTCCAGCTCGTAACTAAATTCGTTTGATCCGGGCACCGATCATCACCAAGCACGGATAGTTTACGCTCGCTCATGTACACCAGCGCTGGTTGGCTGGAGATCAGCCGACTTGAGTGATAGAATCGTGGCATGAGTCTTGCTAGATGTGGTTGAATTTAGCGGGCCATCGTTCAACGAAAGCTGTTTACGAGTGCCTCCTATTACGCAGGAGTTCAACTTCAATTGGGCTGACTGAGGAGGTGTGATCTCTTGCGGTGGATTCTTTCCCGAGGCAGTAGTTGACTCATTCATGGACTTCAGGCCATGAAGTTTTTCTTGCATGTTCGTAGCCAGCCATGCTTGAGCTAGTCCACCACGGTCGCGTTATATTATTTTGTGTGTGATTCGAATCTATGCGCAGGGGTGTTTCGCTTGGGCGCTGATCTAGGGCTCTGGTGCTGCAGAAGTCACTGCGGTAGAAACTCGTAGAGTACTAGTGTAGTACGTGCTCAACACTATGTGTTGGATCGTGGTTGAAGGAAGGCCGACCTCGTCGTACAGTAAACGCGGATTTCAAACACTCACAAGTTGTGAATTTAAGTTGAGGCCTTTAAGCGTTGTCAATCACATTGCCAATCCTCAGAAGGGATAGCGATTTTCTGCTTGACAAGGTCATACCAATCGGTATACAAATCGGTATGCCATACCATACCGGTATATGCTGGACGGGTGCAACGTGTTCAATCGAAAATGCTCCGAGCTGTGTTAATCCACGCGGCATCGGCGGCGCTCGTCGTTTCGGGATGGCTTCCCTCCACCTCAGCTTTCCGTCCTATGCGGCCCGATGGCGGCCCGCTCTTCACCAGCTCCAAGGTTGTGCGCACTCTGAATATTGACAATTACGACACCATGCTGAACGACACACGAACAGTTTGGCTTGTGGATTTTTACTCCCCGTGGTGCCCTCATTGCCGCCAGTTCGCACCTCAATGGGAGGAAGTGGCGAACGTCTACGCCCATGCCAACACAATTCAATTAGGTGCGGTAGACTGCACGAAACAAAATGAGATATGCGATCGAGAGGACGTGCACTCGTACCCCTCCGTCAAGATGTTCCATGTACCACTAGAGGCCAATGAAGCCATCGATATGCCCCATGATGTCCACGTATATGCTCGCCATGTGGCTAAGTGGATCGAGGAGACACTCAAGGAAAACGGTATGGGACCATTAATTGATATTGATAAAATGTACCCGAAGAATACCCTGCGTAATGACCTGAAGAAAAAGGAATTTAAGTTCGGAGACCCCGTGGAGCCATTACATGACGATCGATCTGCGGAAATTCAGATGAAGAGATTGATGGATGCTGGAACTACTGCGTTGTTTACATTTGAGGATGGATTCTTTATGGGCACGACGGTGTTGGCAGGAGAGAGATATGATGCTGCGGTGACGTGGGTGCAGACACTAGCGGATGCTTTTCCGATGAAAGAAAACCGCGCTACGTTTGCACGGCTTGTGGATATGATGAAGCAGCAGAACAGGTGGAAGCAGGCGGACTGGAACACAATGATACACACGTGGAAAGCTACGGCAAATGCGATGAGTTATCCTAAGAATTTGTTTGCGAATAAGGACGATTTGAGTTTGTGCACGACGTTCACGTGCGGGATCTGGACGCTGTTTCACAGTTTAACTGTAAATGGTGTCGGTCAGTTGAAGCCGAGTGAGATCATGATAGCTATCCGTCTCGTCGTCAAGCATTTTTTCGGCTGCGAGGAGTGTAGGCGTCATTTCCTGAAGGCAAACCCGGAGACTGTGATTAAGAAAATGGCGCTTAGAGACGAAGATGGCCCTGACTCCGTGACATTTTGGATCTGGACGATGCACAACACTGTCAATAAGGTACTCGGCAAACCGAGGTGGCCAACCAACTTGTCGTGTCCCAACTGCTACTTTGCGAATGGCCACCCACTGTCGTTGGACCCGGCACAGCTTAGCGAAGAAGATATCGTTGCATACGTCAGAAGCGTTTACAAGATTGAAGGTAATCTGAAACTTGGGCAGCACGCTACTACCACGACGTCATGGCTCACGTTGCGGAGATTCACTTCAATGGCCGCAGTCGCGCTGCTCACTGCGGTCTTCGCTACGATATTCCAGCAGTACAAGCACCGTCTCGTTGGAATGAAAGTATTGAGAACACGCGATCACATTGCATAGAAGACAGGCTTGTTAAAAAAAACTAGTACGAAGTAGATGCAAAGCATTTACATTTCTCAAATAACCCAATTGGGCTATTTTAAAAGGGAAAATTCCAATCGTGGACTCATTTTTACCACACCACTTCAAAGCCAAATTCTACAGACCTACGCCGAGCGCACGATCCACGATAGTGTAGCAGCGTCTGCAATCACAACGGAAATCTTGTTCTCCAGCTCAGTCTTGGCCTTCTCATCTGACAAACGCAGCTGCATTTCTACAATCTCGTGTTCCTGCTCCATCTTCTTCTTCACTCCAGCTCCGTCGATCACTGTACTGGGCCGGCTAACGCGAATTGTCAAGTTTTTAGCGTATTTATTAAGTGTGGTAAAAATGAGTCCCCGATTGGAATTTTCCCATTTTAAAAACCACAAATTTGACGTTACGGATATCCATTGTAATTTTTCAGTTGGCCAGTTTGTCTTTTTCCCAGCATGTCGAACTGGGAGCTGGTGCTCGTGCGGTGGATGGTTGCGCTCCTCCTGCTGCTGCCCGTGACGTCCGCGTTCTCTCTTATTAAGCATGACACCAGCCCTCTGTTCACCAAGTCGTTTCAAGTGCACTCACTTTCTTCACAGAACTATGACACAATGCTGAAGGATTCCGACACGGTCTGGTTAGTGGATTATTACGCCCCGTGGTGTCCACACTGCCGCCACTTCGCCCCGGAATGGGAGCGCGTCGCCAACTTCTATGCCAAGACCGACAAAGTGCGAGTAGGGGCTGTGGACTGCACCAAGAACAGCGAGATCTGCAATAATGAAAACATCCACGGCTATCCAGGTGTGAAAATCCACCACGTCCCAGCAGACGCAGAGAAGGCGGCAATGATGCCACGAGGTGCAAGGGGCAGCAAGTCAGTGATCGACTGGGCTGAGAGGCTAATGGAGGAGCACGGTATCAAGTCTGGTGTGAATCTGGAGGACCTGGCAGCGCAGTTGAAGAATTTTAGAAATGCTGGCGTTGCGGAAGGCGATGACGGGGAGCTAATATTCAACGACCAGTCGCTCGAGATGAAGTACAAACGACTGCATGACGCGGGTATTGCAGCGGTGTCGACTTTTCAGAATGGGTTCTTTCTGGGTGCTAATGTGCTGGAAGGAGAGAGGTATGAGGTTGCATTGATGTGGATGGAAGCTCTTGCAGCGTCCTTCCCGATGGAGAAAAACCGACAGGTGCTAGCTTCGCTAGTGGCATCGATGAAGACAAGTAATCATTGGAATTATGCGGATTGGAAGATGTTACTGAGAAAGTGGAAGGAGACGGCGAGTAAGAAGACTTTTCCAGTGAATCTGTTCGAGTCGAGCGAGGATAAGAGTTATGCGTTTTGCAAGACGTATACATGTGGATTGTGGACTTTGTTTCACAGTATTACAGTGAGTGAGGTCAAAGTCAGCAAAAAATCTCTGACACAACCGTGGAAGCCAAGCCGGATCATGGCGGCTATCAGACTTTACGTAAAGAACTTCTTCGGATGCGAAGAGTGTCGGGAGCATTTTATGTCGTCCAACCCGGAGAGTGTTATCAAAGACCTTGCTGCGAGTGACGGAGAAGGCCCCCATGCTGTTGCAATGTGGATCTGGAAGATGCACAATACGGTCAATAAAGCCCTCAAGAGGCAGCAATGGCCGTCAAAGATAGCGTGTCCGGTCTGCTACGTGGAAAATGGCGAGCCCATTTCGCTTGATCCAGTGCGACTTCATGAACAAGAAATTGTAGCGTATGTCACAAGTGCTTACGGACACGACGACGAGGAGATTTATGCCATGGATGCTGCGTACAACGGCACAATTGTTGCACTGTGGTCATTCACGCAAGGGTTCAGCGCAATGGTAATGATTGTGGGGTTCTTCGCTTTGCTGGGAGTGGCCTATAAAACGAGGAGGCACCGAGGTTTTGACCGAAAGGTGCTTATGATGCGAGATCATATTGCATAGATGCATTGATAAATCTTCCCCTTTTTATCCTTAAACGCATTTTGCATGCACTCAATAGAAATTAATGAAATAGGAGGAAGATTTTACTGTAGTGCTGCAAGAATGCCGTGCTCAGTATTTCCAGTGCTTAACCCTTATGTAATTTCGCAAGAATCGTAGATTACTAGCGCTCACTCACTTAAGTACGTTAACCTGTTTAAATCGATGTAAAATCGATAGTACGTGTCCTTGAAGCCAAGGCGATGCGTATCTAGACGTTCGCAATAAGCATGCTTGCCTGTTGACAGTATCAAAAGGGTCGGAAGCTCCACACGTCAGGCAACAGTGAAGAGAGACGTTGACCCGCACCACACTTCAGCAATGGTCGTCAAAACTCTGCTTCTAGCAGCGATGATTACCGTCGCGACAGCGCGCCAGCCTCGCGACAACAGTCCGCTCTTCACTACGGAGCAATGCCAAGTCCGCACGCTTAATAGCGAAGGCCACGCCGCCATACTCACAGACACGAAAGCTGTGTGGCTCGTGGACTATTACGCCCCCTGGTGCCCGCACTGTCGCCAGTTTGCTCCGGCGTGGGAGAAGGCCGCAGCTTTCTACGCCGACAATCCCAATATCAACATCGCGGCTGTGGACTGCACGCAGAACAGTGATCTGTGCAACAAAGAGGGCATCATGGGCTACCCAACCATCAAGTTGTACCACGTGCCCCCGGAGAGCACGGAACCCGTCAAAATGCCCCATAAGAATCGCAAAAACACAAATACGGTCATCGCCTGGGTGGAAGAGCAGATGGAGGAACACGGCATGAAGACTAGTGCTGACACGGACGATATTGATGCGCATATCGAGAGGATCAACAACCGCTGTGAGATGGGCAGCGCCACTAGCTCGGGGAAGGCCTCGAAGACCACCGAACAGCTTAACGACCAGAGCATCGAGATGAAGTATAAGAGGTTACACGATGCAGGTATCGCAGCGGTGGCTACCTTCGAGAACGGATTTTATGTTGGTACGACAGTGCTGGAAGGCGAAAGATACGACGCTGCTGTGACGTGGGTGGAGGCACTGGCCAAGTCCTTCCCCATGGCAGGAAACCGCGCAGCGCTATCGTTGCTGGCAGATATGATTAAGCAGCAGAACAAATGGGTACAGAGCGATTGGGACAAGCTTCTGACCGACTGGAAGAAGAATGCGACGAGAATCAGCTTCCCTGTGAACTTGTTTGAATCGAGCGAGAAGAAGAACTGGACGTACTGCACGACGTATACGTGCGGCGTGTGGACGCTGTTCCACACGCTTAGTGTGAGAGATATCAAGTCAGAAACCGAGTTAAAGCCTAGTGAGATCATGGCTGCGATTCGGCTGTTCGTCAAGTACTTTTTCAGCTGTGAAGAGTGCCAACGACACTTTATGATGGCCAACCCAGAAAGCTTGCTCGAGAAGCTGGCAGAAAGCGACGCGGAGGGCCCTCGGGCAGTAGCAATTTGGATCTGGAAGATGCACAACAAAGTCAACAAGGTATTAAAGTACAACCAGTGGCCAAGTATGGAAAACTGTCCCAAGTGTTATGTGAGCGATGGTGGGCCCCTGGACCTCAACCCCGCAAGGCTGCATGAAGAGGAGATCTTGGCCTACCTCACAAGCGTTTTCGGCCATAAGGACACGGATCTTTTCTTCCTTGATGCCGCTTCGAATGGAATCTGGGCGGCTGCTGTGTCCATAATACAGCGATACAGCTCTGTGACTATGGTTGCGGTGGCTGTGCTGTTGATGCTTCCGTTTATGCTGCATTCTAAGAAGACTCCGAAGACCGAAAAGATCGAGTAACTTACCATTTCCATGATCTTGGTCACCTCAATACTTTTTACTACATCATTAAATAAAATATACGTTAGGTGTCAGGTCAACCTGGTTTGAGGCGTGCAAATCGTGCAAAAATGCATAATGAACTTTTCAAATCTAGCTTTGAAGAGTTTTCATTTAACCGAGCACTTCGCCAAATATATGCTATTTCACAGTTTATTGTGCCAAAAAAAAAGTACGAAATATCGAAGCAGCGAGCACGAAAACTTCAACGGTTTGTGTGACATCGCACTAATGGCAGCGCGTCAAGCAGAGAAGAAGTTGTTGGTGGCCGCAGCCAAGAACGGGCTGGCCATCCCGTGCGACCTGGACGCCACCGCGTTCCTACTGGCTCATCCTCGTGGCGCCTACACCGCTGCTCGCACTGTGCTGCAGACCAAGATCTTCGACTACGACGCACACATCCGTCGACTCGGTCCGTATTAAAAAAATGTAACTATTATATTTTAGCTACAATGATGGCTTACTAGTATTTCTACAGTGGAGTCGACGGTTGTCATGCAGAGTGAGAAGCAGCTGATTTCGAGTGCAGTGGAGAAGGAGCTGAGACCAAGAACCGAAGCCACAATAATCGCAGCAATGACTGCATTCAAGGGGCTGTACGAGGTGCAGAAGGACCAAGAGTACAAGATCAATGTACTGGTATGTCCCACTGAAGGTAACATCGGGGAGGGGGAGGTACTGGCAGACACAGACGTGTATTGTCACGTAGGATTCCTCCCTCCACTACGCTCCGAGATGGTGAAGCTGGAAGTGGCAGGTCTTCCGCGTCATAATGCAGTGGCAAAAGACTCAGCCTGGGTGAGAGAGCGGAAGGCGATTTATGACAGGATGGCTCCGGATATGGAGGAGGTGATCCTCATGGACCCAGCAACTCGACACCTGCTGGAAGGCTCGCAAACGAACTTCTATACGATCCAGGATGGAGCGGTGTACACAGCGGAAGAGGGGATTCTCAAGGGAACAGTGAGGTCCCTAGTACTGGAGGTCTGTGAGGAAAACGGGATTCCTGTGAAGCTCTCGCCTCCAACACTGGATGATGTGGACAAGTGGCAGGGGTGTTTTATATCAAGCACATCCAGGTTGGTGTTGGGGGCAAAGTCACTAAAATATGAACACCCTGAGACTAAAGAACCCATGACGAGAAGATTCCTGCCGAATCCGATCTTGGACAAAATCACAACTGCGGTTCGTCATTCAGTGATCGGTAAGAGCACAGAAGTGTTCAAGTGATTTCAGCCGGTGTTTGAAGTATCAATTTTTGCACCCCCGTTACGATAATTGCGCCGTCTTCTTCAATCGATATATCCCCGATTGCGGATTCTTCTGTAGCAACGGAGGTATCATTTTGCTTGGTTTGCTTGTCTGACTGTTGTGTATTCTCCTCTTGCTTCTCCCAGGCCTGCATGTTGAGATATGAGCGCTCTTTGCGTTGCTGCAAAGTTTCCTGACGCTTTGCTGCGCGCTCTAATCGAAGCTGTGCTTCCGCTTCAGCCTTCGCTTTTCGCTGATCTTCCAACCATTGAGTTACTTTCGCAGGTACTGACAGTCCAGTCAAGAGCTTCCATCGTACAAGTGGCCAGCGATAGAAGCGCTCCGTTACTCGTGTCCGGTATCCGCCACCTACACTAAGCCAGTTTTTCATAGTAGTGACTGCTGTCGCTCGATCATTCAACAGTGCGAAAGTGGAGCTCAAACGCATCCAGTCCGAGTCGTCAAACATCGACACAGGCAGCTCCTCCTTGGTTTGCTGTCGTCGAAGCGCAACTATTACAGCTTTACGTTTACTGATCAGCTCTGAAGACTTGTGTGTTTGGCGCTTCCTCATCATCAGGTAGGCATCTTTTGCCAGTACAAATTCCTGACGATCAAAGTATCGGTCTCCAAGTTCACGCCACGTCTCGGGAGCTTTGATCCAGTCCTGCCAAGTGGAGTATACGTGGTGCTGGGATCCCCTCAAAAACTTACGATAGGCATCCTCGTATGCTACAGCACAAAGTCCTCGACTAGATTTGCCCTCAAGTTCCATGATTCGAGCAGCAAGAAGCACAATGTCAACAGGTTCCCAGCCGAATGGTGCAGCATCCATGGTATGGAGAATGTATTCGCGACTTTGTCGGAACATTTTGAGGGAAAACATAACAATACCAGCACGGAAAATAACCTCAATCAGCCGAGCATATCGAGGAAAACACAGGATGATCCCGCCCAGGATTTCAGCTGCATGTCTGTAGTCTCGGTTGAGTTCAAGAGCAAAGGCGATTTCTTGCAGGAACAACGGATTACTCAGAAACATCACATGTGTACTGGCCTTCTGGAAGAAAAACAGCGACTTGTTCAAGTAATCCAACTGGAAACCGACTTGATATTGTTTGAGAAGACAACGTCCAAGTTGTCGAAGCAAAGCTGGAGGGACATCCTGATACGAACAAGTTGCTGAAGGATCCTCGAATCGAGTGTACTGCATGCTGTGAACAGCCTCCAGAAGACATTTACAAGCAGCTTCGTACTCCCCATTCTGCATGAGTAGAAATCCTTTTCGAGATGCCTCTGATCCCCATGATCGACCTAAGTAATGCGCAGCAACTCGTTTCCAGCGATCACGAGTTTGTTGATTCGTGCTTCCAGGACCGGTTGTTGATGGTTTAGGCTCTGGAAATCTTCGACGATGAATCTTTTCCATGATGGGATCTTCCTCGAAAAATTCATGGTAGAAGAACCGGCGCGTTTTCCTCTTTTTTGGAGGGATTTTGTCCTCGGTAAGAGAATGTTCGATTGCCAAATGAGCTTCAACGGCGTCGTAGTCCAGATCGAAAGGTGGTGGGCCTTTGAGACTTTCAACAAACTCCATGAAAACCTCGACGTTCAATCTCAAGAAATGAGAATAGTCGATCACCATGTGACGAAGCGCTGCAGCTTCTTGAGGAGACCACAATAATCCCTCAAGCTGTGTGCCTTCGTGTTCCCAGGCCTGGCGCTTCATCGTCATGACATCTTCTCGCATCATGCGCAGGTTACATTTATCCCTAACGCGTTTATCCTGCAAGCGAGCCTCGACTGTATCCAGATTTTGAGCTCTCCGATCCTCCTCTTCCATGGCTTCTCGCTCGTGCTTCTCAAGAATACGATCAAGTTGTAGTTGAGCTTGTTGAATTCGTCGCTGTCGAGTCTCTTCGTCGTACATTAGTTTACGATTTCTCGCTTCCTGCAGTCGATCTTTCTGCTTGTTGGCCACTTGATCAGCCATTTTCTGCATCTGCTCGAGCGTTTTCTTGTACTCCTCAGTTTTTTGCTGTACTCTCCTGATCTTCTCGTCACGTTCGTCTTCAACTTGCATCATCGAAGTCTCGTTGGCTTCACGACGACGCTCAATATCTCGAAGACGTTTCCTCTCTCGACAAAACTTGAAATACTGTTCCTTGCGCTCCTTTTCTTCTACAGCTCTGCTTAGTAAATCTTCGTCACGCATTAAAACATTTTCACGACGTTGACGCTCCTCGAGCGCCTTCTGCGCCTCCATCTTGGCGAATTGTAGCGGATCAAGAGAATATTTGATCCGCTCCTTCTCACGCTTGGCTTCCCACTGTTCTGCTGCAGCATTCCTCTTCAAAGCGAAATGCCATCGACGACTGCTCTTATCAGCTTTTTCCATCAGTTCTCGTTCTTCCTGCTCTCGATTAACTTCCTCATACTTTTGACGACGCAATTCTTCCTTTAGACGTTCATTCTTTCTCAATTTCACTCGCTCAGTGTCTTGTTCTGCTTCTAAACGCCATTGTATCTCCTCCGCCTCCCTCTCTCGTCGTCGTAAACGCTCTTGTGCTTCAATCTTCGTCGCTTTAGATAAACTAGCCCAATGTGCCTTCTCTTCTTCACGAGCTATTAAACGTTGACGCTTCTGCTCGTTCTTCTTTTCTGCGCCAATACGCATGATCTCTTCCATTTCTCGTAGTTGCTGTTGTGCTCGTTTTTGGAAAAATATCTCACGCTTGGAGACTTCCTTCAGTCGATCATGAGCTTCAAGCTCGCGACGTTGTGTTTCAGCCACTACATACCGCGTTTGGTATTCTTCTATTAGCATGAGAGCGTTCTCTTCCTGCTCTCGACGTTGGCGCTTGAGTTTCTGCCGAATTCTCATATCGTCCTCAATTGTACGCAACGCTCGAATAAACTCGCGCATCTCCAGTTCGGCACGATGCATCAACTCACGCTCACGAGCTTGGGCTAGCCTATCTGTAGTCTGCGCGAGTTCTTTCTTCAACATCTCCTCATGAGCCTCGCGTTTCTGCTCCCGACGAGCACGTTTTGCCTCCAAGAATCTTTCTTTCGCTGCTTGTAGTTCTCGTTCTCGTCTTGCAACAAGTTGACGCAAATCATGCACAGCATGGAAAAGCTGTCGACGTGTGGCCTCGACTGGACGAGCAGCATTTCGGGCTGCAATCGCTGCATTCTTTGAAGCTCGTTGTTGACCTCGGGAAATCTCAACAGCAACGTGAGTCTCCGTGAGGAGAACCAACATACTGTTCAATTTAGCGGCTAACGTGCGATCTCCACGAGCGATTTCGTGTAAGCGATGGAGATTTCCAGTCGGAGAAATCGAGGCCAGTAGCAGTCTTAATTGAGCCTGGAGATCACGCTTAACTTGTTTACGCGTCACTCGACCTCGCCATGCTGCCTGAAGTCGTGCTGCGTGCAAGACTGTGAGATTCAGTAAGTGTTCTCGTCGTCTTAGCCATTTACGCACACAGTTTTGAACCGTACGAGCTGCTTCCCATTGAGCATATAAAGCTTCCAGGTTTCGACGACGTCGAGCCCAACGTTGACTGCGAAACCGGAAGACGCGCTGGATGTGAACTGCGAACGGAGCAAGAGTTTCAAGACGGCGTTGTTCTTCGGCGTGCCAAGCCACGTACTCACGCCAAACACGCAGTCGCGAACGCAATCGCCGGCGTGCATACAACTTGAACAGCGGTGTGAATTTGTAGACGCTCGCTAAGCTGGAGGCTCGAATGTCAGCTAGGAGCGCATGGACTTTTGTATTTTCTTGGTATGCTTCAAGACTTATTCTGTGTTGCTCTCGAGCAAGAGATTGAATAGCCGAATCGAGTTTGATATCAATTCGTCCTTTTGGTTGATCCTCTAGCTGGAGTAGAAGTTCCGGTACATCTGGAATAGGAATTTTTGGTGGACTTGGATATGGCACCTGAAATTCACGACGTGGAATAGTAGCAGTAAATCGAGGTGGTGATGTAACTGGTGCAATGATCTCTTGAGCGATTACACTGGCAATGGCACCTCGATTTCGAATCGATGCGCGCATACTCTGCTCTGTACGACGCAATTTGATGTAGTTGATCGGCTCCGGTGCCAAGTCGAGCGTTGGCTTCATCTTTCTTGATCCAGTCTCGACATTCGCTTTCTTCGTTAAAGTTACGGACTTGGCCTGCCCTTGAGTTGCTGTGTGTTGTATGTCTGCTTGCTTATGAATTTTGAGCTGCTGCAATTGATGGATCGATTGCAGTTCCCCTGGCCGAATATGCCAGTTGGTATCCGTTTCACTTGGTCGCTCGTTGTCATAGTGATCAATGCTACCATCGGTTCTGAATGGTGTGCCTGCAAAGCTCTCTTCATGCGTTCTCACTCTAAATTGCATGACCCCTTTCTAAGGACCAAACATGGATGTGGATCAATCGCCGTTTTCAAACATTTATTTTTCAGCTGAAACTAACGATCGACCTATTTTTTTTATCATTGATCAACCTGAAGCGTATTAATGCCTTCGGGTCAACCAGAGAGTCCAGATGAACCAAGTGATGAAGAAGAATCTCTAGAAGATGTTGAAGACGATAACGAGGAAGGTGAAGAGGAAGAAGAAGAGAGTGAAGATAATTCCGATGGCGATGATAATGAATCAAACCAAACAGATTCCAAGAAGAAAATGTCAAAAACTCCAAGTAGTTCGGTGAAAGTGTTGGCTGGTGGAGCAGCGTCTTACGTGATCCCTCCAGTCCGATCAAAGCCTCAACGACCAGTAGATAGCGATAGCGGAGTGCGAATCACGCAGCAGAAACAGATTGGTCGTGCTTGGGCTGATGGTCCTCGTATCGATCTCGTACATTTAGATTACGTTCAGGAAGATTTCGAGCGGCGACAAGAAGCAGTAGCGAATATCCGAGAGCGCATGACGTTAAAGTCTCGACCTGGTTACCAGCTCCGTGTTCGTATGCGATGGAATTGTCAGTCACTGTCCCGACTAATTCTCCGTCGACATTTCCTGTGGCTTCCCTGTGTAGTGAGCTCTCTACCTGAAGCTGTATGGGATGGCGATATCCTCCAGGTTCATACGCACTTACTACAACGAGCCGATGTCAACATGCGCGACCTCGTGACCGGTCAATTGACACTCAATATTGCCATCCAGCAGCAACACGAACCGATCGCTCGACTCTTGATCGATCGTGGAGCGGATGTGAACCAGCAAGATGATATCTCTCTGCTAGCACCAATCCACAACTCCATCATCATGGGCAATAAGGCTTTATTCCGACGTCTTCTCAAAGCCGGAGCCGATACTGAGCTTGCAGATCGTGAAGGGTTTACACCTCTGCATTGGGCGTCCGTACGTGGATATCTGGAGATCGTCGCACAACTTGTCGAAGTTTCTCGTGCCGATGTTAATCGCCAAGATGCAATGGGCTGGTCTCCACTCCACATCGCGTGTTTTAAGGGATACCCAGACCTTGTCGAGTATCTATTGACACGTCACGCTCGTATTGATGTGGAGGACTGCTATGGGTTCACACCGATGCTGTTCGCTCGTATCGCTGAAAATATAGACGTCGTCAAGAGCTTGGACGAGTTTGTTGCGCAACAAGAGGCCAAGAGGCTACGAAAGCTCACACCTAATAAGCCGAAGACGAAGAAAAAACGAAGATTATACTCCCCCAAACGATTGTTCTTATCGGAAGAGAACTGAGGCTAGATGCTCTGCTTGTATGCTTGTTCTCGAAGAATAACGCGACGACGTCCAGGAGGTGGCAAGTACTCAATCTCATCTCGGTATCTATCGCGATCCCAGTGGAGAACTCGCTCCATGGGCACGATACGAGCGGTAGTAGCGCCTAGTTGGGCGAGGATTTGCTTGGAAGCTGGAGTTTCGGCCACATCGAACGCTGTGAGCCCATACATGTTCTTGTGGTTCACATCAGCACCGCCGTCTTCAAGCTCGCGTCGTAGCAGCAACTTAAGAATCGTCTTGAGTGTAGCGAGTCGCTTCGACGTCTCCGGTGTTGCAAGCACAAACGCTGCTATTGCTACCGAGTTGTTCCCGTCTTCGTCGAAGCAATCAGCTTCTAGACGACTTTGAAGCACCAGAAACTCCACTACTGCTGGCTGGGCGCTTGTGATCGCCCATAGTAACAAACTGCCAGGTCGCCAACGCTTCGGAATGTCATCCAAAGGCGAGATGACAGACAGCAGCAGCTTGAGGATGTCAACGTGGCTTGTAGAACAGGCGTAATGCAGCGGCGTGGCCTCTGCAGCTTCGAGCATGCGACTGTAGCGGAAGTTGGACGTGCGTGGCGCTGCACTTTCTAGCGTCGATGTGGCTGCTGGCAGGTTTGGGTTGTCTGGAAGCTTTGTTAGCGGCGAGGCGCCATGACGCAACAGCAATTGCACAGCTCCGAGCTGCTGATGGAGTACTGCGGTATGTAGTAGCGTCTCTCCGAATGCATTGCATGCTGTAGTGAGTGAATAGCCATCTCCTGTCTTTAACGCTTGCTCCAATGAGTTGACATCTCCCAACTCGATGGCACGTTGAAGTGGTAGCAATCCCCCACTGGTCTGAGCAGAGGGGAAGCAACCATCTATGGAGTTCCGGCTTAGGAACGTGCGGTCTCCAGGCCCCAAGAAGCTCTACAAGATGTATAAAAAAAATTAAAAATGAGGATAAACTCGAATTGTGAGAGTTACGCACATCGACCCCTCGAGGTGCAGTTCGGCGTAGCTTCTGGTCTACTGCGAAGGCTCTGGGAGTCAGCGGGTTGCCGTTTACATGACGCAGTCGCGTGCTCTCAAGCCTTGCAGCTCTAGCCTCCTGTTCCGGTGTTCTGTCTTCCAGGAGCTCCATCGCGACGCTTCACTTGACGCCTGTAGTAATAGATACTGAGTACTGTGGCAAGAACTGGACCGACAGTTAGACAGTTGTGTACATAAAGCTACTGTCTATTGAGTTATCGACGCGGGCTGAAAGGCTCGACATATTAAACTCCAAAGGAGGGAGCAGTAGACCGCGGGACTAAGCGCTGCCGCCCACGAGAATGTTGTTAATAGGGATGTGCACGAGCTTCACGAAGAAGCCGATGAAGCCCATCATGAGGAAACCCACAGACGTGGCGCCGGCGATACGGGCGAACTCTGCAAAAGCAAGAAATAACGTCAATTAGACGATAAGAGCCTATCGAAGCGGGAAAACAGCTACGAGAACACACCTTTCCGGTCGGGCTTGTTGCACTTCTTGATCAGGTGCAACGAGTTCTTGAAGAACTGGTTCAGGGGCTGGAACACGAGCGCGTTGACGTCCGACATGACCGTAAGTCAGCAAGAGTGTGTGTATGTGTGCGTGAGCTGGAGGGAAAACGGGGGAATGACAAGGTACAGGCCACGCGGCGTTCGACGGATCGCGAGTATCTACTTTTTATCCAATCAAAGAGTTTGAAGATGCGGTATTGGTCAAAAAGCGAAGCTAATGCCACGTGTGTCGAAAGGCTCGTCTCTGCAACGACCCGATTTAGTGTGGCGCACATACTGTACCCTCGAATTCAAAAAGTTGCAGTTGGAGCTCGCATTTTGAAAAGATGAAGCGGAGGCTGAGCGAGATGTCGGACGTGAAGGACGTGAAGACCGAGCCCGACGATCTACAGCAGACGGTGGCGACGCTCGTCGCGCAGCAAGTGGCTGCGGCATTGCTAGCTCCACTTAGTGGCGGTAGCACGGCACGCTTCGGGCGCGTAGCCTTCAGGGAGCAAGAACAGCAAAGTGTGGGCGCCTTCCTCCACCAGAAATTGGGCAAGGACAGTCTGGCTCGAAGGCCTGGACCTGGAGGTCGCAAGTTGACATACATTGAGAGTTGCAAGGCCATCGAACTGGCCAATCGCGCGTTTGGGTTCAATGGGTGGTCATGTCATATCGTTGAGTGCAAAGAGGAATATGTACGTGAATGTGGAGGTGGTATTGAGACTGTAAGTGCTGAGTGTTGAGTACTATGGGCAGAAAGAGAAGAAGGGCGATCGATGGAGCATCGGGTACAGCGCCTTGGTGCGCATTGAGCTGAAGGACGGCACGAGCCATGAAGACGTTGGTTTCGGTACATCAGATGGACAGAGAGACCTAGGGGCAGCGCTGGAACAGGCGAAGAAGGCGAGCATTTCGGATGCGAGGAAGAGGGCGCTGAGATTGTTTGGCGAGTACCTTGGCAACTCGTGCTATGACAAAGACCATATCAAGGACGTGAACTCGAACAAGCCCATGGCTCCGCTGGCAGCAGCACCGAACGTGATTCTCCCAGGACAGCAACAGCAGGGAGCAGCAGCTGCACAAGCTCCTATTATCAATAGGCAACCTAGAGCGCAGAATGGACCCCAGCCGCCACCACAGAACCAACTCCAGGCTCAGCAACAGCGACCGCCGCAGACTATTCAACACCAACAACAGGTTCAGCAATCTATTCAGCACCCGCAACCTCAGCAACAACAGCGTCAGCCTATTCAACAACAACGACCTCAGACACCCCAGCAATCGATCCAGCAGCGCCAACCTCAGCAACAACAGCACCAGCAGATCCAGCAACAACGACCTCAGACGCCTCAGCAATCGATTCAGCAGCAACAACAGCGCCAGCCTCAACAGCAGCAGCAGCAGCAGCGTCAACCACAGCAGCCTCAGCAATGGAAGCCGCCCCAAGTCTTGCGAAATCCACATCAAATGAATGGCAATTCATCCATGCAGGTGGCCAATTCAAGAGCTTCGACGATGCAAACAGCTACAAGCAGCAGTACGAATTCTGGGCATGAAGCTTCTACTTCAACAGCTGCACCAAGCTCTTCTTCCAGTCCGTTCTGTCCGCAGCCGCAGCGTTGGATATCTTCAAACGCACCGCCTCCGCCGCGCATGATGACTTCGAATTACCCTCCAACAATTGTGAAGACGGAGCATCCTGCGACGGTTCAAGCTCAATCAAACGCACAATACAACATGGATGACCTCAGCCTCTCTCAATTCGATTACGATCCTAACGCGGAAAGCAGCAATCCAGCCAAGAAGATGCGGTCGTAACACGAATGTTACTACGGAAAGTCGCGGAGACTCGATCAAGTTAAATGAATGAGCTAAGTGGTGAAACTGAGGCACATGAATCCTACGGAATGATGCCGTTTGTGATCTTCTGGAACTGGTCGTAGCGCTTGGTCCACTTGTTCTTGTAACTCGCGCGAATCATCTTGACCACCGCTTTAACAGTTTTCTCAGTGGAGTAGTTAAGCAGAAAACGACTGCGAAGCTTCTGCAGGTCGCGAGACACGTCACGTCCTTGAAAGCACGGGAAGGTTGAGTTGTGCATCATAATCTCGACAAGCGCCACCACCCGGTCAGATTTCCGTTGAGCGGCTAGCAAGCCTAATGCCACCAGCTGCACAAACTCGCCGAATAGTGGGGACGATACCCCGCCCAGCACAGCGACCATCTCTTTGGTTAACTTGAAAGGTGCCGTCTCGAAGCTCCAGTTGCCGCCTGGAGCAATGCCGAGCATAAAACCGAAGTCGATGTGCACGAGGTAGCCTTCTGTGTCGAGCATGATGTTTCCGTTGTGGCGATCTTTGATCTGAAGCAAGTAGCACACGATGGAGTAGGCTGCAAGACTGTGCAGGAAATTACGCTGGGCCTTCTTGAAATCATCACCAACACCGTAAGTTCTCTCGAAGTGAGCGCGCAAGCCTGCATAGTCGCTTCTCTTCTTGAGGCCATCCAACGACTGCGCGTCAGTGATGGTCTCCAGTAGACCACTGGTACGACCCGTGGACACAATTCGATATGGACGTAGCCACAATGGCAGGCCACTCTCACGGAAAATGTTCTGGAACGTGGTGATCAGCTGCATCGCAAAGACTTCCTGTCGAATATCGTCATTGCTTTTGGAGATCTACACACGAGTAGGACAGAGTCAACCCCTAATGATAAGCACTAAACCATGCAGTATACGTACCAGTGAGATAACGTTCCATCCGGATAAATCGCCATGAGGTGATGATGCACGAATACGCTCCTTCTTCGCCTCCCAGCTCTCTCCGAACACCTCACTTGCACTGAGTAGCTTGGAGAGCCCCATTTCATATGCTGTCTTCGAGTATCCGCGAATGAGATTCAGTTGCTGTGAGCCCTCCCTGCTCAGCTCGGATGTCGAGTCCATTGAATCATCGGAAAGCACCGTTGAGGTTGGAGAACTTAAGCCACTCCGGATGCCTTCCAAAGGGAAGATAGGTGCATCAATGGATTCGAGGATATCAGCCGTACCATTGTCGTCTTGGCCACCTTCAGCATCAGCACCATCGTCTTCATTTTCGTGGGGACTTAGCGGATTTTCAACGCAAATAAGCTGTCCTTTAATGGCAAACTTTTTGACGAGACTGGCAACTTCTGCTTCCAAGTTTGCGAGTGCTGGGTCAGATGCGGATTTATGAAGCAGGCCACAAGAGTTCTTTAGTTCTGTTGAGAGTTTGCGTTGTCCAGCAGAGTTGACTTGATCTTCGATAACTTCGAAGCAGAGTAAGCACGGCGCTCGGCTGTGAGTAGAGAAAACTGTTCCTTCGTCTGGAAGCACACGAGTGATGCGACAAAATGAATCTGACACGCGACCGAGAGGAACGTACGCCATGTCCGGGATAACCAACGCTTTCAGTTCTCCAGAAAGAAGTTTCTTCCGGTTCTGGGGTGGGTTTACAGCTCGCATTCGTTCCGAGATATCTGTGAGTGCCTTCACGAAGTCTCGCTGTTCGTGGAAATACTTGTAGCGCTTCTTCCGCTCCTTCTCCATCCACTCCAAAAGCAAAGCATGCTGACTGCTGATCTTACTAGGCGTCAAGGGTGCTGCGCTACTGCTCTCCAATTCTGCTGCCAGGCGTTCAGCAAGCCCTGTCACCTCTTCTTTGCCTTGAGTATCATCAACAGATACCTGCTCCAATTTCTCCCTCATTTGAGGAATATCCATGAGCCGTCGAGTGACATCTTCTGCAGTCTGCGTATTAGGCACTTCAAAGTGTTGGTTGACAACCTTAGCCTCGATGGACATGAGGAGCCTGGCGCACAAGTTGTACGTTTTCGGATCATTGTCGGCGATCTTGGCTTCCAGTAGCCAGAAGAGCTGCAACGCCAAGTGAATGCAGTTGCCGAGATGTTCAACGTACGCTTTCGCCCGGCAGATCGAGAGCAGCAGGTTCACCAGTTTATCCGTTGCTACCAACTCGGTATTGACGATCAAATGGACGATCTGCTGAATGTAGAACTCCACATCGTCGACATTCTCCTCCGCATAAGAGGCTAGACGATCCAGCACCAGTTCGGTTGCAACAGCATTAGAGCGGTACTTGTGCAACAACGTTACAGCCATTTGGGCGTCGAAAGTGTCCGCCGAAAGAATAGACTCGAAAAAATTCTTCTCACTGTCGCCAGAATTTACGTGGATTGTGGACATTGCGTGCAGCCATCGCTCCTTTTCAGTGAGGGTATCAGTATCTATCACAACGAGCTTCGCCTTGTGCGAGCTGATTACCAGCGTGTTATCGTAGCTGTCGGCGGCGCCGTTTCCAAGCAGCGCAACTCGCACACTCGCTTCGAGCTCCAGTGCATCCTTGACACCAACCACGCTGATCTGCTTTTTCGGGACACCGGGCGACGCTGAATCACTTGGCTTGGTCTTGAATACAAGCATCGTATCGCCTTGCAAAATACAGTATCGGCGTTGGCGCATGCGTTTACGAAACACAAGAAACCCCTCTATCTTGCGGTCATTCGGCTCTCCAGCGTTAATAGCTGCAACATCGCTGAGTTCGAAGCCACGATTGCTCAACTCTTTCTTTGTGTCGTCAGCTTGTCCAGCAGTCTCCCCCCTTCCCGTTTGTACATGTAGACGTTCATCCTCATCTATTTCCAGCTTCTTTGAAGAAGATCTTGAAAAGAGAAACGAGCTCCTCGTGGATGCCTTCATGTGAACGCTTAGGTCGGTCGCTCTTAACCGCGGCGAACGCTTAGGTCGGTCGCTCTTAACCGTGGCGAACGCTGGCAAACACAAATGAGATAATGGTTGAGAACTGCACCTTTATGTTGCTTGGACTGGTGGTTTTGCCTAAACATAGCACTTCATCCACAGAACGAGAAATATGGGTGAGATTAGTTCTTGGGCCATGCCCGGTACCAAGTATCTAAAACAAGAAAGCTGAAAACAATACAAATTAAACGAGTAAAACAGCACTGCTGACACATTGACATCACCTCTACGGGAGCTTGCTTTTAGCCTTCGTTGGTAAGATCTGCAAACAAGTCACCGTAGAACTCGCCAGGAAGCTTCGGACGCATGTGCTTTTCAACAAATGAGGAGATCACCTTGCTGCGGTTGGCCTCAGCACCCACAGGGGAAGACGAAACTGCACCAATGTCGTGTTGGTAACGATGGAAGGACCGTGAAAGGATGGCGGCGTTGATAGCGGTTTGACGCACAAGTGGAGCCAGCCAAGCACCGTTGACAACCATGCCATCTAGCAACGGACCCAGCACACGGCTAGTGTACACGTCCGCTTCGTCCACATAGTCTTCTTGGTTTGCAATAACATCGCGTTGGTTGAATAGCGGAGAAGACTCGTGGCTCACGTGTACGCAGTAGAGATCGTTGCCCAGCGGGTCGATGATCAGTACCACACCCGACGTCGGCATTGGCAACTTGAATACTGCATCCCACAACACGCTGCCCGGGCGGTACGTCTGCTGGCATTCGTTCCAAACAATAAGTACATTGGCGTGTTGGAACTGCGCCCTTGCATTCGCGCCCTCCGTGTCTTCAGCATCACTGTCACTGTCGCTATCGCTTTCTTCCTCTCCATCCACCAGTAGTGTAGGCACGTAGATGCAAGCCTCGTGACTGTAGTGGGAATAGTACAGCATCCGGCCCTTCACGAGCTCAGCGTCGAAGCCCGAGTGTCCTGTGTGATCATGGCCATCCACGTGTTCACCGATCGACGAGAGGAAGAGGCTATAGTTCTTGGAAAGCTCGACGTAGCCAGCGCGCACATCCGTCGATGTAGCTAAATGAATCTGGTCGTAGCCGCCTCGAGATGTGCCAGTGAACGCATATGCAACAGAAAAATCAAACGTCTCACGCTCGGGGAGTTTGTCCAGCGTCTCCAAGTCACGAAGGAAATCGGTAGTCACAGTTGCATCCATAGCAAAGACAGAACCCCAGTTGCGCACCGACAGGAAACCCAGTTCACTCATCATTCTCCGAGAAACCTCCCACGTTTGGAGTGCAGGGTCCTTCTCCGGTGGCGTAGGCTTACAGCACTTCACGCCACGTGCGGATCCCTTCGGTTGGGAAGCAAGCTTGTCCTCTTGAGTTTGTGACACAAGCAGACTCATGAACACGGCATCTTGAGTGCCACGACCATCATCACGGCCAGCCTGTGCTTTGCGCTCAATTGTGCTCATTCCGGTGTTGCCTTCGCCAGACAAGACCTTCGTGGGATCTGAGTCAGTTTCAACCCCACCAGAAGGTGACGAACGCCAGCTTGTCATTGGAGTCTTTGCATGAGTGTCACGAATCGCCGTAAGCAATGGATCTTCAACACGTGCCTCCTCATCACTTTGATAATCTTCATCATCACTGTCGTCATGCGTATTAGCATCGGAATCAAAGTCACTGTCCCTTCGAGGATCTTCACAAAAGTTCTCGAACTCAGCAATGCTTTTGGGGCGAGGCCCGTCACGGTGCCGGGGTTTAGAGCGCCAGGCATAACGGCCTGTCGCGTCTCGCATGATCAAGATCGCTTCACCTGATTGTGCAGCATTCGCAGGTTTTTCGATGACCGTGAGAATAGAATTCTTGTTCACGGAGAAGAATCGGCAGTGGCGATAGATGTCGGTCGAGTCGTTAAGCTCGCAAAACTGTGTAAGCACAGACTGCAGCGAAGTAATCAGAATATAACGGGTCAGTATCTGAAGCTACAACGACAGCCCAAGTCTTACTTTACCTTCTCAGTTAGTCCCGATGAGTGAGTACCGATGGAACCAGCATTGCTAGTGTGCGAAACGTGGTGCTTCATCAGCATGTTCACCAACTTCTGAGCAGCCTCGCGCACTGCCATGTTCGTCGTATTGGGCGACAATGATTGAAATCGCTCGTTTCCGTCCACAATGGTTGTGATGATCTTGGCAATGACCTGTTGTTTGTTCAGCAATAGAGGCGCGGCTACGATCCACTCGATGATGCAGTGATACGCTGCCGCCATGAGGCTATCCAGATAAAATGGCGCCGTTCTTGACCTCAAAATCGGTGCGCTGTTACTGATGAAATCGCAGCACGCGTTCACCAAGTGGACAACGGAGTTTGCGTGGTGGAAGAACACTTCCTCGCAAACCAGCGACAAGTGACGCAAGCATTCGAACGCAGTGAACAGCACTGGCGGCTTGTACTTTTGCGACTTGCTGATGATCGAACAAATCAGCAGGATCGTGAAAGGTACTTGCGAGTTACGGCTGGAGGCCAAGCCGTTCGTCCAGAAAGCGGCCTCCTGCTGTATAGCCACTGTCATGATCCACATCATCATCTGCTGGTTGGTAGGGTCTGTCTCCGTCTTGATCGCTGTCATCAGGAGGGCAACGACGTTCGAGCTGGTGTACTTCGGCAACGTTGAATACAGTCCCGGTATGTCGGCCATCGAAGTTGCCACAATCTCCTTTTCAGCCTCCTTAATCAGATTACGCGGAACGTGAGCATGGATAGTAAGAAGCGAGCTGCAGGCCTCGATACTTGCACGTCGGAGCAGTACAATCGGGATTCCACCAATGTGCTGATCATCTTGAACAAAGAATGAATCTCCTCCACGTCGCCCATCCGCCTTTGTACTTGAAGACGATGACGAATCTTTACGCTCCGCAGCACGGAATACACGCTCGACTGCCTTGTGGAACGGTCCCGCAACAACTCCTGCACCGCGCAGTGTATGATTTCCGTACAAACTGAATACATTTGACCAGTTGTACACTGCTGAAGCTGCAATCCGTTCGTCATCATCGAGCAATGCGTTCTGTAGAGCCATCAAACTGCGAACGCTGTAGGCCCAGTTAACACGTTTAGAGCGGCCGTTGGAATAGTGACACAGAAGTTTTCCGAGGCACCGTAAAGCCTCACTACGACCTGCGGCAAAGCGTGGCTTGCGGGTCAAACAGGCATCAAATAGCCACGGTCCGAGCAATCGGAGAATTGTGTTGACGTCGGGTGGAGCTCGTGGCTGCTCAGTAGTCGTCGGAGTTGCTGTGGACAGATCTTCAGACCCATCGGCATCACCATTTTGAACTCCTTGGAACACTGGGCTGTCACGATTCGGGGTCTGATTAAGAGCACCCAGCACGTGCTCCCACTGCACGCGCGGTACCTTTTCAATGCGAGCAAATTCGTCAGCAAGTCGACTCACTCCCTTTACAGCGGCGAGGTACACGTCCGGGTCAAAAATTGCAGAAGGATGGCCAATCACACGCAGTAGACGGTACCAAGCGTAGGCAAGCATGGGATTCTCCAACTCGAACTTGGACGGCTGCCGGTTGTCGGCCCAAATGATCTCAATCTCTTTAGACGCGTTCCGATCGTGGATCTGCTTCATTAGACTACGCGTAAGTCCCAGTGTGACAGCATTCCACTGCTCGATAACCAACGCACGGTGAATCCACCGCCGGCAAAACTTCTGCAATAGACTCCACAGCTCTCCCCTAGGCCCGCACTGCGGCAGTGATCGCAGATACACTTCAAACAGGATCCTCACAAGCTGCCCACACAATTGGTTACCCAATTGGTTGCGTAGATTATGCAGCAGCCCATCGGCAGCACCAAGAATTAGACGGATTAACCGATCCCACGTCGAGTTGGAAAGCTGAGCTCCACGATGCTTCACCAGTGCATCAAAAGTCTCCAAAACTCTGTCAACAACATCAGAAAATGAAAAAAAAATTATTAGCACCAGGCACCATATCAATAAAAAAAATACAACACCTACTTGGTGCACAATGCCACGTGAGTTGCCATGTTGGCTTCGCCACTCCCACTGGGGACGCCATTATTGGAGCGTTCTTCGAACAGCAACGTCATCTGGCCCAGCATATCCTGAATGAAGGTCTGTTCCACTTTCTGCATGCAGGCTGGTCTCTGGTCCTTGCTTTTTCCGCCTTTAGCAGCCAGAGTCTCGTCGTCCACCCCGAGCCAGCGCTGGTAGATATCCAGCGAGCCTTGAATGACCTCAGAGTCGTCCATAGGCAAAGCGAACGAGTGACCTAGCACCTCCATAGCCCAGCGGATGTGGTGACCACTGGGAAGAACCGTCTGTGTGTCCACATTCTCCTCTGTGAGGTAACCCACGACCATGGAGCACATTCCACGCTGGCATTTGTCCGAGAATTTCTGCGAATTCAACAGTAGAGTTAGAAGCAAGAAGATGGAGGTTGGATACTCCTGAAAGGTAGAGTTTACCTTGAGCACATAGGAGTCGGCGGAGACCGGTACCAGCTCGCACTTGGAGATCCACGGCAGGAACATGGTGCCACCCTCGTGTCCGACGACTTCGTGAGTGCGGAAAAGAGGGGGCGATGTGACGTTGTTACAACAGATATTTATATAAGGTATATTGACAAAACACGTATATGATTGGACAACTGATCTTATAGAAGTACCTGTGCGTTATATGTCAGTGTCCGTCGTTGAACGTATCGATCATTTCAGCAGGCAAGGACCGCACTTCGACTCTTTCCTCGCTGCGAGCTGCGGCTCGGCGAAGGCTTCAGGTATGTCTCAATTTCAGCCCCCGTCCGCCTCGTTCATGCGGGGCACGACACCTCGCGCTGAAGAATCAATGGGCAGTCGCACGCCGCGTCGGCGACGAGATCGCGGTGGCCTCATAAAGCTCAAGAAGGGCGACGACGGCAAGAAGAGCTTGCTGGAGGCCATTTTCTCTAAGAAGAAAACTCCTACTAGCAGCAGCGGACCGCCTTCCAGCTCCCCGAGCGCCAACCGACGGCCACCCGCCCCCAATCCAGCTGCGGTGGCCCGCGGTGTCGAGATTCTACATTCAATGTTCCCCAAGTGGGAAGAGGAGACGCTGCAGGTCGTGCTGGAGGCTTATGCGTTTATTATGGAGGATACAATTACGGCTGTGCTTAACATGGAGAAAGCAGAGGACACGACAAAAGGGAGCGGGGAGGTATCCAGGGATACTGCTGACCGCACTAATTGGCCCGTTAAAAACCCATTACCCGATGACTTTCTGAGGGTGCGTTTATCGTGATAAAATGGGGTGCAGTATAGGTGACGATGCTAATGTCTAAGTTCTATTTGTTGCTATTGATGCAGTTGCCAGACGATGATGGAAGCGAAGAGGTGAAGTATGCACCATCGGAGGAAGGTCTTGCTGAAGAGGACGAAGAGGAGTGTGAAGAAAGTGAGAAGGAGGATGAAAGGGATGCTGAAGACAAAACTGAATTATCTGTGAAGTTTGACGCTGGAGAGGAGAACCGATCGGATAGATCGAATAGCACATTAGCGGAGGATGATGGCACGCTGTTCGGGAAGGAATTTGACGATGATACTGCGTCTACCGACGAGGTGATTACCCCCGTGCTCGATTACGCAGCTATACTTGCCAAGCAGAAGATGGTGGATGACTCGATGAACCAGAAGTTCCTCCCAGTGGAACTTCGCCATGAGCGATCGAGTATTTTCGACATTGCGCACATTGATGTCATAAAGAAGTGCAAGTTGGATTTGTCGGAAGCTGAAAAGCGCATTCGCCATCGGGAGCCGCATCTGGTGTTTGAGTTGCTGTCGAAAGCTAGCGAAATCTACCGCAGCGGTGTCATCTCGAGCCAGGAGCTCGACTATCTGCGTTCTATGATCTTATGCAGGATCCAGCCTACCAAAATGGTACGTCAAAGTAAAACTAGCTATCAGAACACTTGAGATATCTCGAACTAACTCGTTATGCTTTTGCGTGTACCAGTTGATGGACATGACAATGAATAAGAATGGCATGATCTCTGATCACGAATGGCATCTGCTCATCTTAAAGGCGAAAGGTGAGTTAGAAGCTTTCACTGGCTAAGTATTACAGAGCTAACGTGGTTTGTTTAGGAATTCGTCATGCGCTGTGCATCCGAATCTTCCGTGAAGAAAGCAAACCTGCCCGAAACAGTGGTCACATGGTGCGTATCTTCATTTCACGTCAGCTTTCCTTGTCGCGGTGTTTTGTAACTCACAGAGTTTTTGGTTGTGTTTGGTTTCCGCAGGAATATATCGTGCGTGTTGTGGATGTGGAAAGTGGCGTCGTTTGGTTTACGCGGAAACGCTTCCGTGAACTGTATAAGCTTCACCGCAAAGTGAGTTATCTGTGTGAATCAATGATATTCATTTCCACGCGTTCTAACTTGTGTGTATGTCTGCAGTTGAGCCGTCTATCCGGGCAGGTGAATGAGTGCGTGTTCCCGACTCGCCGTGGCCACGGCAGAAACTCGCCGAATCAGCTTGCCTACGACCGAGCACCTGTCCTGGAGAACTTTTTGCGTACCACCGCAGCACTTGTGGCTCCGTCGCCACTCACATTTTTACATGGTGTCGCCCTCAAGCAACTCCAACAGTTTTGAATGTACCGCATGTGGGTATCCTCGAACGAAACCGCACTCAGCCTATCTCACGAGAACTTCGTGTGTTCGTGTACCACACTGTAAATGATTCTACGTCCCCCGAGGGCAAGGCCTGCCAGAAGTTTCTCACGAAGATGAAGCAAAACGGCTTCAACTCTGGGAAGAATGTACTGGATGAAATTGGAGAGATTTTGGACGGTGTGCAGGAGTACATGCTGGAGCATCGATTCGAGGAGATGGAGCTCATTGTTCAGCGTTTGATGAAGCAGATTCTTGCCGGTAGCACTGGCAATCCGGCTTTAGGCCGGCACAGCTCGTTTGTGAGCTTGATGACAACCGATGCAGTGAGTAATCAGGACAAGTTACAGCAACTACTATCGGACGCGATTCGGCATGAACTGGAGGACCGTATCTGTGTACCACTGATGTGGGATCTGACCTAGTACCCTTGAAGGCATGTACAGCACGAAGAGCGTCAATTCCGCCAGCGAGTATTCCAGCTGAAAGGTAAACCGCAATGCTACTTTGGTATCCCGATGGACAAGATCTCGTTGAGTAGTTGGCGGTCTGTGGTGGATGTCATCAAGGAGATTGACGGTGCTTTCTTGCCTTTGGACAAGATGCAAAAGTTTGTTGCCAGCGCACAAAATCCACGCACTATAGAAGGTTGAACGCTCCATGTACCTCGAACGGCCGCACCATCGCCGACAGCGTTCGACGCCGATGGCAGGTTCGTTTTTGCAGCCGCAGACGTCTCCATTATCGATGAACCGGACGCTGTCGACGAATAGTAGCTCCAACAGATCGTCTCGGGGCTTGACTGTTGGGGATGAGTTCGAGGCACCCGCTGAAATCAATTCAGGTGCTCAAGAACCAAAGATTGAAGAGGACGCAAGGAAGAGTGACGCGTCCATCAAGACTCAAGAGGAGGACGTACTGAAAGGAGACGACTTCCTGTTCATTTTTATTGATGTGATTGTCCGCAGTGACCTGGAGGCCCCGATCCTCACACAAGTACTGCTGAATCGTCTCTGCGATCCCGAGAAGCGACGTAGCGAGTCCGGCTACTATCTCGCGACGTTCGAGGCTGCTCTGCACCACATCTTGTCACTGGAGCTTCCCGGCGCTAGGACGAAGCCATCGTGAATCGAGCCATGCTACCCAATCGCCGTAACCCCGTCAAGATAGAGCGACCAAGGACCTGCCCAATGCACTTTTGGATTCACAAATGGGACCGTTCGTTCTCGTTAAGGTATCTCGAATCCGAGCAGTTCATTTTAAACAGTACTTGAATCGAGTAGTTCGTTTTAAACGTACAAAGCGTATATTTTTTAATGGTTTGATTATACATGTATATGTATACCTGAATGGTCCGATTAAACAAAGTGTATAATAAATATTGTTTGAAAGGTCCGATTATACATGTTTAAATAAGTGTAGCCATTTCTAACCCGGTAGTTGACCGGTTTAATCGGTTTTATTGCTACTGTGTCTGCCACACCACAGTCTAAGGGGGGACTAAACCCATAGTGAAGCAGCGTCACTTCGAGACAGCAGCAACTTCCGCCCAAGGTGGCAGCGCAAGAGCAGAGCGTGCGGCACTTGGAGCCGCACTGGGGGGGCACCAGAGACTGCGCGTTCGGCCCTAACTTTAGCCCAATCCGCGCTCAATTGGCTGCATCGTGTACCGCCAAGATCTTCACCTTCATGTTCGGCATGGACCCGGTATTGTCTGGGTCGCTGTGCTTTTTGGTGCTGGCCATCGCCATGTACCTCAAATTCATCCGCGAGCAGCCATGGGGTGACGAGGAGATATCAGATCATAAAAGTAGCCCCGTGGACGGAGATGATACCATGCCCTTCTTGCATCCAGCGTCTCCAGCTGGCAGACTACAGGCTCAACAGCAGAGAGGAGCAGGACAGGGGCGACAACAGGTCAAACAGAAGCAACAAACATCCAGACAATCACAACAGCCACCGCAACCCCATCATGGGTATGCAGGATTCCAGCAGAGCCGTCAGACAGCGTCCTCAGCTGTGGTGGCGGCTGGAGTGGACGCTACAGCAGCGTCAGGAGCTACTTATTTACCCACCAAGAAGCAACCGATGAGGAGGAGGACTCACAGTGCTAACGCATCATCTACCGCCTCACCAAACAATAAGATTAAGAGTGGAGCAGTAGCTGCAGACGCAGGAGACCACAGTATGGACCAATTGCCCACTACCATCTACGAAGGAGCTAATTACGACCAGTTCAGACAACAAAGACAACCGCAGGATTCCGGACGCAACCAGCACCGCATCACGTTTGACGATTATGACGAAGAGATGGGATTTTTGTCGCCACCTCGACATGAAGACGCCGCGAATGATTCGCTAGAGAGCGTGTCTTTTGAAGCCGAGAGCGATGATTTTTACGACCTGGAGAACCGCCTTCCTGAAGATCATTTGCTGAATATTGCAGACACACCCGAACGCGGTCGCAAACCGCTTCGTATTGGTGAACAGTACCGTGGTGGTGCCTTGCTGGAATCAGCAGATCTAGCGGACGCATCTCCCGATGCGAAGACGTTAAAGACGAATATTGAGCGCCAGTTTGTGCGAGATGTCGCCCCGCCCGCACAAATGCAGCTTGAAGTTGCTCGAAAAGCTCGCATTCCGTTGTTTCTTCACTCGCCGATGTATGTCAGGACATCGGCGTCACCTTTGATTGACGAGATAGATGCCGAGTTTACAGCGGAATTTGCAGCGGAGGAGGCTCAAGTGGCAGAGGCTGGAAATGGTGAAGCACTAGCAGATCCTGCTGCTGGGGCAGACGCAGCAGCAGGGGCTGCCATCGCTGCCGCTGGTAATCCGGCGCGAAGGAGGAGGCCGAAACTGTCCAAGGCCAAGAACGACAGCTTGCATGTGGACTTCAAGGAGCTGCAGATTGAGGAGATGATCGGTCAGGGAGCGTTCGGAACAGTGCATCGCGCTAAGTGGCGAGGAACTGCGGTGGCCGTCAAGATCCTGGTTTGTCAGTATCTGACGGCTGACATCTTGGAAGAATTCGAGGCCGAAGTGCAGATCATGAGCATATTAAGGTACTTTTGCGTCTCATGAAGACCCTGGGTGTGAGGTTGATAACTAACTTGACTAATGTTCGCTATTTCGCTAGGCATCCTAACATTTGCCTGCTGATGGGCGCGTGTCTGGAGCCACCGACGCGCTGTCTTGTGATCGAGTATTTACCACGCGGCTCGCTCTGGAATGTCCTCCGTCAAGATGTTGTCATCGATTTGGGCAAGCAATACGGGTAAAACGTGGCAGAACTGGTTGAGTCCGTGTCAGCAACTGGAAATTCTCTAACATTTCTATTTGTGCTGGACTGCAGTTTCGCGCGTGATACGGCGCTGGGTATGAACTACTTGCATTCTTTCCAACCGCCGATTTTACATCGCGATCTGAAAAGTCCCAACTTGTTGGTCGATTCATCATACGCGCTCAAGATCTCTGATTTTGGGTTGGCACGGGTTCGTGCTCATTTCCAGACAATGACGGGTAATTGTGGCACCACGCAGTGGATGGCGCCTGAGGTTCTGGCAGCCGAGAAGTACACAGAGAAGGCCGATGTGTTCTCTTACGGTGTAGTGGTATGGGAGACCGTCACACGGCAGTGTCCGTACGAGGGCCTAACTCAGATCCAAGCGGCACTCGGTGTACTGAACAACAACCTGCGGCCGACAGTTCCAGAGAATTGCCCACCTTTATTCAAGAAGCTCATGACACAATGTTGGGTCAGCTCCCCCGAGCAGCGACCAAGCTTTGAGGCGGTGCTGGAGATTCTAAACAGCTCCACCGATGGCTCTTTACCTCTACAACGCGAGCGAAGAACTAGCGACGCGCATGTGCGGTAACCTCGCAAAGCAAACCAAGTGTATGTACGAAAGAGGGAAAGAGACGTAGTTAGAAATGAATACAGGGCATGCGAACGGACCACGCAGGCAAAAAATGTGAACAACCAACAATACAGCAAACATCGAACTCACTGTACTGTACAACCCACGGTGGGTCCCACCATCACTTCAAATCCCAATATAATGGACGCCGAAAAATGTCGCAAATGAATAAAGTCAGGGTTTTTCAGTGCAAATCTTAGGTTTTATTGAATTAAACCCCGATGGCCCTCAACGTACGTCATTCGCCAATCTTCGACCGAAGACGCAAGTGATCTTTTCTTCCTTCTGTATCACCACCACCATGGCTCCCTCCGCTGACACGACGCTGGGCCTTCTGGGCACGGGCAAGATCGGCTCGGCCGTCTTCACGGGCTTCTGCAGTGACAATGGCTGGCAGCCCAAGCACGCGTTCGTTTCGGCGCGCACTAAGGCCAAAGCTGAGGCGCTGGTGGCCAAGTTCCCTGGCCGCGTGACCATCGGCGCGTCCAACCAGGAGATAGTGGACAAGAGCGACGTTATCTTCATCGGACTGTTGCCCAACGTGGCGCGTGAGGAGCTGCCCAAGCTCTCATTTGCTGGTAAGAAGGTGGTGTCCATGATGGCCACCATCCCGTACGACGAGCTGCTGCAGCTCGTCAAGCTGCCCACCGAGAGCGTCGTGCGTTCTGTTCCGCTGCCTGCTGCCGCCAAGCGTGCCGGCCCCATCCTGGCCTACCCGGACAACGTATTTGCTCGTGACCTGTTCGCTCAGATCGGCACGCCTGTCATGGTGGCTGAGGAAGCCGAGATCACCAAGCTAACGGGCATCACGGCCCTTATCTCCTTCTTCTACGCCACGTGCGATACCACCCAGAAGTGGTGTGTCAACAACGGTGTCGGTACGTGCTATTCTCTTGACTACTGGATCAAGTTTATTGGGAATCAATGTGTTAATATCAAATCTTTGGCATGGACAGGCGACCAGGCTTCGCGCGACTACATTGCATCCTTCTTCCACGCACTGGCCACGGCCGGTGCCGAGTCCAACGAAGGCTTTGGAGAGATGGCCGACGAAGCAGCCACGCCTGGCGGTCTGAACGAGCAGGTGCACCGTGCGCTGCAGGGCAATGGCGGCTACGAGCTGGTGGCCGACCAACTGGACGCCATCTTCAAGCGCTTGTCTGGAACCGACCCGGCCCCGCGTCCCGCTCGCAGCTAAGTTGTTGCTGCCCTGTGAACTTTGTCGGTTGTTCATTAAAGACAGATACACGGGGTTCTAACGTCAAAAGAAATTCGTGCTGTTGCTTTTAGTGCCTGATCCAAGGCTTTTGATCTACTCAGTTGCCGTTAGATAGCACTGCCTTCGACTTAGTAGAGCCCTTGAATGGGTCTGATAGCACGCCGGTCTTTTGCATGAGCCAGAGCATTTTACCGGCGTCGTTCGAGCCTGGTATCCGCTTCCACTCGACTTTATGCACCTCACCAGACGCAGAGCGACAGAGTGTAGCTTGTACGGGCGCTAGCTTGCTTGCATCGACCGCCTGCAGTAAACAATTGATGGCCAAGCTGCCATCAGCTGCAAAGTATGGCTCCAGGAAGATCGAGCCAACTGCGCGTGTATCGGACACGCGACCTTCGCCAATGCAACTGCCATCCCACTCGCCCGTGACCACAAGACGGACGCTCGTGCGGTCCAAATTCATCGAGCTCTGCTTCAATCCGAACGACAACGCGTCGTGGTGCAGTGCCAACGCTACCTGAGAGCACACAGTCGTCTCCACAAATTCGCGCAGACCTTCTACGCCAGACACCTCGCGTTGAGACGCTATCCCCGTCTGAAGAAGAATCCGTGCTCCAGAAATGAGCACCTCTGTCGAGAAGTTCTTGCCGATATTCAAGTCAAAAGCTGACAAAGTCGAGTCAAACGCGCAAGTTTTCCACCGAGGACCCACATACACGCCGCGTACCGAATCGCATATTGGCTGCAGCAAACCATCATCCAAGACGCGACCTGACGCTGATGTTTGGAGCTTCTGGAAGGCAAGCACCGAAGATACCTCATCCAGGTATCGTGCCACCTCGTTTTTCAGCAAGTTATGCGCCAGGACAGTCAAGACTGTAGCCAGCGTTCCAGGAGTGTTGTCGTGCTTGTCTGCCTCACTTGCTGGACCCATACCTGCAGCGCCTGCACCCGTGCTAGAGTTCACGCCACCTCCAGCTGTTGTCGAAATATCCAAGCCTGTGTACAGCAATGCCCGGGAGATATCCTTTCGGCCGTGACGTGTCCGTATTTCTTGTTGCAGCAGCAACAGAGTATACCGACAGGTCTGCGTCAGGAAAGCTTCGTCACTGTCGGCGGGGGTTGAGTATGAAATGGATGATGCACGTCGTGGCTTGCCTGGGCTGCTCGTCGGCAACGGTGCATCCTCTACTGGCTCTTCCTTCACATCTACAGCGTCTTGGTCTCCACTGGAAGCCTCTTCGTTCGTCTTCTTTTCCTCCGTCGACACATCCTTGTTCTTTGACAAACTCTTTACGTCTACAAGTTTGATAGTCAAGTGGTATCGCTCGTTCACGCGGAGCTGAATCTCATCATCCAACACTTGCATAACGGAAATGTACGTGTCACTTGAGCTGTTATCCCTGCCGTGCTTCTTCACTGCATAGTTGCTGATGTTGTACGCTGTGTCTGTCCATTTCGACGTATTCTGAAGCGCCTCCTTCATCAATGTGTAAAAGAGTTCTTCGCAGAACACAGAGAACTGTACGGCCTTGAGAATTGATACATTGCGCTCCTCCAGGGTTTTCAAATCTTCGGGTGTGTCCTCGAGTTTATCCATCTCTGCTTTGGTCCTGCATTTATCATGAAACAGTATCCTTACGATCAGTTGCAAGTCATGCCTCATTCACAGTGCATACACCATCGTACATATGAATAAGGTGAGGTGACGGCAATGTGAACGTTCCCTCCTTTCCGGTATCTTTCGCTTCTAATTTGATCTAAGCGCAGTGATTAAATCCCAGCAGTTTGAGTCAGAGATAATAGACACCACACGAAATTGCGAGTAACTTCCATACCTGGATTGTGCGGGCCAGGAAATCTTCAGGTGTTTTCACGCGAACAAGTCCCTTCTCAGTGCGGCTCAGCTGCATAGCAACATTTCCATCAGTTACTATTCAATAGAAATACTTGTTGCTGCTGGTGATGGTACCTCGGCATACGCGAGATCAGCGATAGATCGGGTCTGTGGCACGAAAAACGATCCCGCTGTTGCAGCATCACATCGCTCCGTTAGAACCAGCTTAAAAAAAATAACCTCATGAAACCATCAACAACTTCACTCACCGCTACCGTAGCTGCAGTCCACCGCCAGTGGTTCGCCCGCTCGGAACGGCTTGGGGATATTTCCGTGGATGGGTGCGCAGATCTTCCACTTGCGCAGCATCTGCGTGATACCCTGGAAAAATACACTCTCCTTCTCCACGGTTTTTGCCAGTGCTTCAACACCATCCAGCAAAATCGTGCCACTCTCCTTCACCTGCGCATGCTTCGCCTCCACAAGATGCTCCAGTTCCTCTCTCTTAGGCGCCGTATTTTCCCGAATACAGCGCATTTCCTCCAAAAAGTCACGACGGCGAATCAAATCAATTGAATTGATGAGTTGGTGCAACTCTGCGACTGCTGCTTGGAGCTCCGCCACCATCGGGCGGTAGTGGATTCTCGGATCGATGACGTCCTCTTCTTCGTCGGCATCCTCGAGCTTCTCCTCGAGCTTCTCCGCGGCTTCAGTGGTCTCCATAGACTCGTCAGTATCCTCAGTCTTCACCTCACCAACCTGCTCATCGGCACCGTCCTCCGTCTTCTGTTTCTTCTTCTTGCGCTCCGTACGCACACGCTCCAACTCCTGGATCGAGTGCAGGAACAGCTGCGCCTCAGTAAACTCCCTAACAGCAACAAAAATCAGCAGTTACCGGTTAGATGTCCACCATTTTGAAGCATATAAAGCCGAATCGGCGGAGTTCATTACTGTTGGAGGATCTCCTTGCCCTGGTCAGTCACCATTTCTACGGCCTCATAGTCGGCCGGGTAGAGCGTCACACCCACGGTATCCGAGCCCTTCTCCTCCATCTTGTACGGGTACTAGTGTCTAACAAGTGTCCTGAGTTATAGCTGCGTCGAATCCGCAGGACACACACAGCAAGTCGTGCCTTCAGACGTCGACCTCGACACTTTTTGGTAAAATGTTGTGTGGCCAAGTTCCCCCCCAACTATCACATTTCCTCGTTTTAGTGACTTATTGCCATTAGTTGAAGTGAAAGCGAAGTGCAACCATGTTGAGACAGACGACGACGTATCCTGGTTATGAAAGACCTTTGCTAGCTCTGCTAGCCTGCAATTTTCATTAAAAACTAACCACCTTCCACCTTGAATACTACGACACTATTCACGCTCTGCGACAACTACACGGGCAGTCTTCGCGTTCGACTGTTTTTCTTGTTTTTCCTCACAGCAGCACAAGCTCCCCACTGCACCTCATGAGAAGTTGTACTCGCGCTTGGCGTACTCGATGGCTCCCTTGACCATGTTGATGGCACGCACTCGGTCTTGACGCAGAACACTGAAGGAAATCAAACCCACTAGTTGGCCCTTCTTATCCACCGCAGCACCACCGCTGAAGCCATTGTCCAGCTGCGCTGCTGTGCGGAGCATCGCTTTGTCGACTTCCTCGCCCTCATACACTTGAGAGTCTGTGCCGGAGCAGATTGCATGGTGTACTGTGATGGTATTGTGACCACTGCTAGGATAACCAAACATCCACATCTCGTCGCCTGGCTCCACGTTGTTTGAATTACCGATCCGTACTGCCGGTAGTTTCCCAATCGTTTCCCGAGACGTGCCCTGCAGCTTCGTCACTGTCCAGTTACGCGCGATCATTCGGTCTGTCACGTCTCCAATGTACAATCCACTAGGCGGGTCCGAGATCACCTCGCAATCCAAGCGGAGCAGAGCGTAGTCCAGTTCTTCGTTGCAACACTCAGGGATCACACGTGCATGATATTTCCATAACGGCGGCAGCGACGTAGATTCAGTGGGTGCGACCAAAATCATATACTCGTCACTGTAGATGCAATCGAACTGCTCTCCTTGCAGACAATGCCGCGCTGTAGCGATAAGACCGTCCTCGTGAATGATAATACCCGATCCGACGTTGCACAGCTCGCCCTCGTTCGTCAGAATGGCGATACGAACGGCCGATTGCTGTACGCGACGCACCAATCCAGCACGGAAATGCTTCATCTCAGCGCGTTTCTGTTTGAATCGAGCCACTGGTGTGATCGGCTTGGACTCCATTGACGGTCGCTCGTCATCATCGTCCTCGTTAAAGTCAGCCAGACACGCTGCTGCATTCAAAAGCTTCATGCGTGGTCCAAATGGGATACCGAGGTCACGCAGGTGACCAGCGTTCATCAGACACAGCGATTCAATGTCAATCTCCTCTGCTTCAAACAGTGCCGCATATTTACTGAGCTTGAGCGACGCCAGAAGACTGGACATGACCAAGAAGCTCTTCTTCTTCTCCGCAGCTTTGCGTGCTGACCAGCGGATAGCGAACTTGTTATACCAGGACAAGTTTTCGAAGCCAATACCATTCACGTCACGCTGGAATGCCACTAGAGACTCCCGCTGGGGACTGCTCTCGTCGTCTCCGAACTCTTTGATGTATAAAGGACGCCACGTGATGTCCAGCAGCGCTCGCTTGTACCAGAATCGACAGGTCATTGAGGCCAGACACAGATCCACGTGGTTCAAATAGCTCAGCATGTGCGTGAAGACGCCACGAGGCACCCACGCCTTGGAGTGCACAAAGGCGTTCATAGGCGGTTTGCTGCCGGACAGAACCTTGGGGAAGCACGTCTCACAGAGTCTGGACTTGTGCGTGTGGCCTGTTAGCGCCGCCTTGAACCTGGAACACTTGGCACAGAATAGGTAGCCACAGCGTCGACAGCGATGTGAGCGTCGCAGCAGCGAGAACTTTTCGCGACACAAGTTACACGAGTTGGAGGCGTGTTGAGGCGCCCAACGATCACCCCCTCCGTACGACGAGACGGACGATGATGTGGCCGAGAAAGCAGAAGATGCTGAGGACGCCGACGAGTAACGGGACACGCGACTCATCTCCTCGAAGCCCGTAGCGGAGCTAATGGTCGAGACCTGGCTGAGATTCATCTGTCTGGTACGCTCTGTAGCCGGGAAGCGGCTACCGGCATTGCCTCCGGCCTGCATTATTTGCCGGGAGCGCGCTGACAGGTTCAAATTGTTGTACGCGGTGTTAGAGCGCGCCGAGAGCGGATAGTGGCGCTTATCCTCGTCCATGGAGCTTTTGACACTGGCAGCGACAGAGAAGGACGACGCGTACTGAGGCAGTAAAGTCGCTGAAGCTGCTGCGGATGGTGACGATCCTAGCGCCCAAGAAGCGGTAGCCCTCGTCCAGCCGGTCGAGCAGTGCTAATGGAGCGCTCTCTCCCTCTCCTCTTCTTCGTGATTGTGACGGCTGATTGGAAGGTGGAGTCGCATGAAAAATAGCATTTTGGCCAATCGACGTGTCGCAATTCGAAACCGCAGGCACTGACTATCGGCGCGAAAAGGAGGGACGCTCGTTTCAACTGCCTGGAAGTCTGCAGCCGCACGAGTTGTCTTGAAGGAGTTGTTGGCTGCATTGCTGGCTTCATGCTGACTCGATGGCCGTTGCAGTGGCATTTCCAGTGGACTTTTATCACTTGCCAGTGCTTATTGTTGCGTGCAGTGCTGCTATAGCTCAACAACGGACAACCGACAAAAACTACTTCGCTTTAGATCGGCTAGTATCCATACAGATCGTCATTGGTCAGTCCTCGTTTTGTGAAGAATCTACTCACTAGAATCTAGTGACTATATAATTGGTAGTTATAATACGGCAACGCAAGTAAACTACGCAGCTCTACTTGTTCTTGCTGTGGTCTCACGTCAATGCAAGTGAGACCTTCGATATTTCGCGTTCCATTGCAGATACAGAACACGCCAAACGGATCTCGAGGCGATCGTCTCGCCGACGGAAACAAAGTAGTTTGGTAATAAAGTGGCAGTCCAGCTTAAAAAAGCCTTACACTAAAGGCAGACCATCATTTGAAAGTCGGCTATCAAGGATATGCGGTCCACAGCGTGGTCAACAGGATGGTCAACCGACATGTGAATGAAAATGTTGCAACCGTACGTCATTTTACCTTGAACACGTGGACTCCAGCGCGAACTTCATAGCTTCAAGGTGAAGCGATCTCTGTCTTCGATAAGATCGTGTACTGGCGAGCACGTGCAGGATTTCCATCGCAAATCGAGTTGTTGCAGATACTCGCGTCGTGACGATAAGAGCTTGATGCCACGCGGCATTTTTGTGTTTCGTGCCACACCATCGCCTGCTCTATGTCGTAACCATTTTGTCCAATCAAGACTCGCTTTTCATAAAAATTCAAGTTTTGTCCAATCAAAGTATACGTTTTAACAGTTCAGTCCGACCTTACAACAAAAGCATTTAGCTTAAAATACATCTATTGGTCAAAAGTATTAAGCAGGGCATCTACTTTCGGAGTCAACCGTTACGTGAGGCATCCGTCCGCTAGACGCACGCGAGCATTTCGAGTTTGGTCACCGCCCCCACTCCAGCAGCTACAAGTCCCGTACTACATACATAACCATCATGGCCCCCAAGAAGACCCAGCAGGAAGACGTCGGCATCTCGGAGAACGAGGTGCGCGCGCTGCTCATCGGCAAGGACGGAAACCTCACGCGTGACTTCGAGGCCGTGCTCACGAGACTCTTCATCTCGTTCCTCGAGAAGCCCACGGACAAGAGTCTGACGCTTGACAAGCTCAAGGAGTTCAGCAAGATCTGCAATGACGGCAAGCCCTTCTCGGACGAGGAGATCAAGGAGATCCAGACCTACTTCCAGTGCGATGAGAACAAGGGCCTGACACTCAAGGGCTTCAAGGACATGTACCACACCCAGTCTAGCGCCGAGCCCATGGAGACCTGGCGGGACATGAAGAAGCTCGGGTACGAATGCGCTCTTTTAGTATATATCGTGTTGCAACATTGTGTTAATTTCTTTATCTTTGCTGCAGATACGACAAGGAGCTACTCGAGAAGCGCGAGGCGGCTCTGCGCTGCCGCGTGTGCAAGGCTCCGTCCACGCTCGTGTGCTCGCGCTGCAAGGTGGTGCGATACTGCGGTGCTGAGTGCCAGAAGCAGGACTGGAAGGCCTCCCACAAGCAGAAATGCAAGCCATCCACGGTCTAAAATCTCAAGCTGATAAAGGCGACATACGGTCCCCCCTCCCTACTGGAAACTGACGTCATGCAGAAAAGAAACAGAGGACAAGAAGACAGAAAGGAGGAGGACAAAAAGAAAAGAAGGTGGCGGCAGCAGTACGCAGCGCAGAACTCGAAAGAGAGAGAGACTCGCGCGACTGCTGGGCGCTTCGTTAGGATAGATGCCATTCGCAGGTTTGTGTATGATCGAGAAACAAGAAACAAAGTCATCAAGCGAAATACTACATGTGTGAAGCTATAAACGCTCGAGTTATGCATTGCGTGCCATGATTCGTGCTGTTATGCATTGCGTGCCATGATTCGTGCTGTGGATACCTACGCATGGGGGACAAAACGTGGCAGTGTCGATTGTGACGTTGCGTTGAAGTTCAAATTGAATTTTGTGTTTATACACCATTTGTTGTGAGGTACACCATGAAGTCAGATCAGAGATACGGACAGCAAAGTTGCCTTTTTAGTCAATCTCGACGAGGTTCTCACCCCAGACCAGGTAAGATTGAGTGGAGATTAGCCCAAATTGGCCATGCAGCTCGGTATTTGCATCGCTGCAATCCTCGCCGTCTTTGAGGCCGTGTCGGCGTCGTCTCAGTTTCATTTGAGTCTTGTGGAGAAGGAGGACAATGGTCAGGTGCACTACATGGTGGATTGGGTCACAGCGTCGACAGTGAACTCGTCCCGGCTCATAGTTGGCACGTCCGCTGACGATCTGAGCTCCGCTGTCGACGGCAAACGTGCAGGCTTAGTAAGAGAAGCTGCAGATGAGGATGTGGCCTGCTGGTCGGCGCTGCTGTCTAATCTGGAGCCTGGCTCGACGATCTTTTACGCCCTCGAATCCGACGCAACGCAGCAGACTACGAGCTCGCTAGACTTTGATGAGTTATCGAAGTCTGACAGTCCCACAAAAAGTGGAATCATGAACTTCACGGTTCCGGACGGAGAGATCACGTGGGCAGTATTTGGTGACATGGGGGCGCCCATGCAGGGACAAGCAGCTGCAGTCTCGTTGCCAGCTTTAAAGGAAGCGCTCTCAGCCGATGGAGCATACAGCGGCGTATTGAACATTGGAGACTTGTCGTACGAGCTCACGGGCTCCAACGGACAGAATTACATGAACGAGCTTGAGCCGATCACATCGAAAGTGCCTATGATGACAACCGTCGGCAATGTATGCCCTGAATTTCTGGGTTTTGAGGGCAAACACGCTTACTAACTTGTGTTGTTTGTTGTTGTAGCATGAGTACCAATACGCACTGTCACCTTCACTCGCCGTCCAGAACTATTACCGTCGGTTCCAAGGAATTACGCTTGGTGCTGGAGCTGCCAGTGGTTCAGCTTCCAATGAGTTCTACAGCTTTTCGTCGGGACTCATCCACTTTGTGTTCATTAACACGGAAGTGTACGGCGACGAAGCCTATGCGGCGCTTCAAGAGGATGGCACATGGAAAGTGGACGAGGCAGCACGAAAAGTGGCAGGAACAGCACAGGCAAAGTGGCTCGAGTACGATCTGAGTCATGTGAAGCGCTCGGAGACGCCATACGTTGTTATGTGCGGCCATCGCCCACCGTTCAAGACGCCGAAAGCACTTAGCGAGCCAGGCAATCGGTTCGCCAAAGAGATCGTTCCGCTTATGAGCAAGTACCAAGTGGATTTGTACCTTTCAGGCCACGAACACACCTACTTGATGTTCGAAGCTTCGACTTTCAATGGCTACAACATCCCTCCGATCATCGTCAGCGGCAGCTCAGGCAACAACGAGTACATCCGCGAGGAAGCTGAGCTTGACATTGAAGGATTCGAGTGGAAGACGTTAATCCCCAAGTACGGATATGGCTATTTGACAGCAACAAAGGATGCAATGGAATGGCAATGGGGTTCTGCAGCTTCGGACGCGACAAATGAGCCTTCTAGTGCCATGTGGAAGAAAGAAGACGAGGTGAGCTTCCCAAAGCAGACCATTTCGAATGTGTATACCCCCGGAGGTTCTCCTGTGAGTGAGCCAGTTGACGTAGCTAGTGAATGGGCAAGCGCCACCTCCGGTACGTTGAATGTTGTGTTGCATTTCGAGCTGTGCTGCTTAGTGATTTTGTATGTTTTACAGGAAGTGGGGCTGGAACGGGTAGTGGCAGTAGCACGACAGGAAGCACTGCGCAGGAAACAACGGGATCCTCAGCATCATCCAGCTCGTCTGCATCGCCTACGTCATCTGCTGCTCCACTTAGCCTGAACTCTGTCACGTACGGTGTAATTAGTTTAGTTGTGGCCATGTCACTTTAGTGTAGTCAAAAGCTCGTGCACATACGTAAGCGGGTGAATATAACGCGGTGGATATGTTTCAATGTTATCGTTCGATCAGGATCAACATACATCAAGCGCAAGCAGTAGCACAACCTAGGCGTTCTGAGTTTCGGCCCAACAGGGCTGCTTGTCCGACAGAACGTAGAGCAAGTCGTCGCCCGTGACGACTTCAAATGGCTGGGGGTTCACGTATACGTATCCAAATGGCACACTGCGATCCTTTTCCGGTACTTCAATTCGAGCTTTAGACTCCGTGTCGTTGGCAGCATTCATGTATGGGTGGCAGCGATACAGCCCAATCACCAAAATGTCATCCGACGATAGCAGATAGTGGAAAACGTACTCGAACGAGCGTCCAACAAAATCGAGCGGCACCTCGACGGCGAACAGCGAGCTACAGTCAAGGTCCGGCTTGGATTTACCACCACGCAAAACTGCCCACGCCTCGCTCGCACGGGATGTGAACATGAACTCGCCCAGGATTTTCTTGATGCGGCCATTGAAAAACTGGTTGATCAGCAAACTATCACACAGCGACGTGCTGTAAGTTAATCCAGAAGTGAATGCCGGTGACAGGAAGAAGTTGCGCGAGAACGTCTCCGTAGACGAGAACATCGTGAGTTCATCTTCACCGTCAGCTTCAGGAAACCAGCCGTTCGCCAACAGATTCTGCGCCACAAAGTGCACACTGGCACGATTCCCCACCTCAGTGATAACTCTTGGAGCCTTATTCACACCAATGTAGCTCGTGATAAACCTGTGAAGTGCGATCGATTCCTACAATAATGCAATAGTCAGTGAGCGCGTCAATATTATAATAACGTGAAAATGCTGTGACATACCGCATCTTGGAGCAGCTCAGCGTTTCCCTCCGATGCAGTGTTCGAAGTCCCCAGGATCAGCACGCGATAGGCTTCAGGCACTCCAGCTCGGTTCAGGGTCTTGTGGCGATACGGGTCACCGATGACGAAGTGTACATCAGGGAAGTGGCTAAAACCATCGTAGATGTCGTCGTCGGGTAACTTTGCCGATAGAATCACCACTGGGTGGTACTGTTTGAGTGAGCGAGCACGTAGCGGACCGATAAGGTGCTCCAGATCGTTAGCAAAAGCTGTCTCGGCAGTCACACAGATCACGATAGGAGCGACTCCAAAGCCGAGTTCCTCCACGTCATCGATTACAGCGTCCTTTGCTGTTTTGGAGGGCTTCTTAAAGACAGGTTTATCGATACGATCTTCCCCCTCCGTCTCCTTCTCAGGCTCTGAGGTTTCATAGTCTCCGAACTGCCAATGTACGAAGCGTGCTTGGTGTCGTTTAAGTGGTGTTCTTGCGTCAAGCTCCTCACTCGATCCGGTTTCACTGCGCACTAGTGAGGAAGGAGACGACACTTGCATTTCTCTCCAAGCCAGCGGCATTGAAGCATTCGGAGACATTTCAGTCAGTGCACTGGCATCGGCTTGGGTCTGAGCAATCACGTATGCTGTCTCCCCACCCACACACGTGTACGAGTCGCCTGGGTTAAGAACCACCTTTCCTCTGGGTCCGTCGGTAACAGCGAAGACGATTATCCCATTGCAGTGAGAATAGGCGAGTGACGCCAACTCAGAGAATGTTTTACCAGCAACCACAGAGGCTGGTGGGAGCTCGACCACATAAACCTCATGACTCGCTCCAAGCAGATATCTATCCACCCAAGAGCCTTCTCCCTTATCGACAGCCGTAGATCGATCTTTACGCTTAGCATCACTGCCAAGCCCTTCATCGTTGTCATCATCAAAGCTCGAAGTCGACGTGAGGCTGTACATAAAGGTCGAGAAACCGGGGCAAATGCAGTTTTGGCCCAGTAACGACAGCGTAACCTCGGAAAGACAAAGAACGTTTTGAACTCCCATGTCGCGAACAAGCTGGCAGTGAACAGAGCGGTGTAGCTGTGCGAAAATGTGCGCCTTCGGGGCTTGACGCTTTGCCGCGAGTACACGCATCAGCGTGCGGTGGTCACTGGCCGAAAAATCTTCGTCACCCACGCGGTTTGTCAGCATGAAAATGGCATCCGCTGAGTCGCAAGCTGCTCGCTTGGCGTCGTCAACATCGAGCAGCGATCCCTGGATAAACCACACTCGCTTCGCGAAGAAAGGGTCCAGCAGCAGTGCCTTAAGCGACGTGGCTGGAGGTTCTTCACTCAATACAATTACGTGGACGCCAACGAAATCGTGGTCATTGTGGAAAATCTCGTGGAAGAAGTGGCTGATGCGCGAAGCAGTGAGGTCTCCACAGAGCACGACATGTCTGCTGCGGGATGAAGGCTTATAGCTGGCTTCCTCGTACGGCGAGACGGAGTTACTCAGATCCATAACGTTAGAGATCTGGTACGGGATGACGAGGATGAAAATGCAGACGAGCACGCCCACGAAGATCTTGGACAAAGCGTTTTCCGACGGTGGTTTGTCGATCGTCACGAAAGTCATCACCGAGTTGAAAAACGAGTTGAAAAAGGTCCATTCGCCAAGATTCTTGACCGAAAGCGTGCCGTCCATCGTCTCGGCGATCTGAATGATTCCAGCAGCTCCAAGCAAGATGCACGTAATCTGCAGATAGCACAGGAGCGCGAATTGACGCACTGGGTTCAGGTACGCATGGCAGCGACTAAGCACCGCTGATCCCGTCTTGTAGCACATAGCGAAGCGTACGGGGTAAAAGAAGCGCCACCAGGACTCACCGTACCAGAACGTACTACAAGCAACCAACAATAGTTTGGGAGTGAGAACAGATTAAGCAGAGTATTAGCAAGAATGTGATGACTCAACTGGTAGCGGATGAAGAACGAGGCCGGGAGTACTGGTAGAATGTTTGCGAGATAGATGAGCGTCGTTAGCGACAGGAGATAGTCCCGACGTCGGTTAGCAGAAAGATAGACGCCTCGAAAGGCGAAGTCAACTGCAAAGATCGAGGCGCAGATCAACTCGACCACCCAAATCGTGTGTGGCAGCTACGGGCAGTAGTATCTCTTTAGAATATACGTTAGATAATGGGGCAATAGATACGTACGCTGTTATATGGGATGTAAGTATTGGCAATGTACATGCCAGCGAAGACGATCGATACCAACGCCATGAACGAGTCGATGGCAGCACCGAGGTTTCCATTATCCAAGTGACTGTTTTCCACCAGATCAACAATCAGCACAGTACTACTAAAAAAGTATGGTATTAGTTTCTATGGGAATAAACTACGCACCGACTGATGCGCTCGATATCGTGGGCATTCCCGAAGACATCGAACTGTTTAGACTCGAAAGCAGCTTTGGCGCTGGCGGCGGCAGACTTAAAGGGAAGACAATTACGTCAGTATGTGTGTGGATGAAGGAGGAGATTGGTGTTGCAGATGGCGACCTCAGGGACGCTGCCGTAGCGCGTGTGCTGTTGACGCAGTGGCCGATGCTCCATGGTGAGCGAAGGTACGTATCAGGTCGAATGACTAGCATCGGGTTGAACCCACACATTCAAGCGACATTTCGATTTGACATGGAATTGTAATAAGAATGTTCTTCTTACAAGAATCAAGTCAATGGGAATGTTGCTCCAAAGGATCCTTACATACCGTAAGTTGAAGAGATCGTGCTGACTGACCAATCAGGAAAAGGGGTTACTGTAGCTCTCATCAGATTGAAGACAGGTATAACGCCATTACAACCAGTCCATTCAACAGCTAAATTCTATGCCGTGTATATTTAAGCCATGTGCCCACTTTCTTTCGGCGTGACAAAGCGATACCTCTGCGTCTTCACCACAACTGCCACGAGTGCGAACAGCAGCGTCACTCCCGTTATCGCACTAAACCCTTGCGCTGGAAACGGATATGTAGATACCATAATTATCTCGTCAAAAAGGGCCTTGTCTTCGTGGTCATAGACGCTCGTGATGTAGGCCACCATTCCATCTTCGTGAATGAGCGACATGCCGATCGATACAGGTGCACCAATGTCAATGTAACAGCTCGGGCAAGACGACGTCAAAGGCCACTGGTGTCTATGAAGCCTCGTGTTTACTGAGTTATGCATTTTCCAGGCCCACGTCACCACCGCGTGGGGCCCATTTGAATCGCTGGCTGCCAGTTCGTCCAATAAACTCTCCGGGTTTGCCTCCATAAAATGTTGACGGCACTCCTCGCAGCCGAAGAAATGTTGCATATACACTCGAATTGCTGCCACTGTATCGCTAGGTTTCCAGTTTCCCACTGCATTGCCAGCCTTAGTGTCTCTCGTAGTCATGCTATGGAACAGCGACCACAGACCACATGTGTAAGTCTTGCACACTGCCCATTCGGATTCTTCATCTCCCCGTGAATCAAACAGATCGCTAGGAAAACTCGTTTCTTTTGCCATGGGTCTCCACTTCTTGATAAGCTTATTCCACTCTGTTAGAGACCAACTTCGTTGTGTCTTCATCAAGTCTACTAAGTTGGTCATAGCCACACGGTTGCCTTCCACTGGAAAAGTAACAGCAAGGGCGCTTACCCACTTCAACGCAGCCTCATAGCGCTCGCCTTCCAGGACTGGTGCTCCGATGAAAAGGCTGTTTTCGAGAGCAAGCATCGCAGCCTTCCCAGCATCACGCAGTCGCTTATACTTCATATGAATTGATGTATCATCATTCATCACTCCAGTGGATGGTGGAGTGACTCGGCCATCCTCTTCGGCATCATGATGCCGCAGCTTCTTCACCTCGACGATGGTCGAGATATCCATGCCAGATTTGATACCATGCTCAGCCAGCAACCCTTCCACCCACTCCACCACTGGTTCAACCTTCTTACGGCCTCTTACCTGCATCTTTGTCTTCTCATTCGATCCCAGTGGCACATGATGTGCCTTAACAGAAGGGTACGCGTGGACCTCCTCGCGCTGGCAGACATCCTTGTGTTGGTTGCAATCCACCGCTCCCACCTGCACGACCTTGGACTCGTGGTAAAATTCACCGACCTTTTCCCACTCGGGCGCGAACATCCTGCAGTGAGCGCACCACGACGAGTAGTAGTCGACAATCCAGACCGAGTCCGATTCGACTAGCATAGCCTCGTAGTCCTTCACGTCCAGCGAACGCACCACCAACGACCCGTTGAACAGCGGCCCACGATCTAGAGGCGAGGACATAGCTGCATTAAGAAGGAGCAACGCGGCCAGCGTCACTAGATTCCAGTGCGCCATGATGACAATTGAGCCGGTATCAAGTTGTCTGACTAGATCAGCATAAGTCCATTCGGAATTATTCGAAGCCTTTTGCCACACAAATGCTACATTAACTGAAGTTGAAGTATCCTATGCTCTGCGGAATTGCCGCTGCAACACCGACAGCTTGGCGTCCGACCAGGGTGTACCTGCATCGGACTCCGGTTGAGGCAGTTTAGGGATGTCGAATTTGACGCGTGCACCGTTGCCGATTGCCAAAGCGTCCTGCACCACAGCTGCGACTACCGGAGTGAGGCCGTTGTTGGATGCTTTGGGCGTAGGTAGTCGCGAGTCCGAGCTGCTCGTTCCTAATGGCAATTTCTTTGAGAATTTTGGCTCGGATGCTGGAGACGCCCAGTCTGGCAACCCATCGAGGGCCCCAGCATCGCTCGCCATTTGCCATTTCATGCGCAGCGAACGGAGTTCAACCGTGAGCTGTTTGTTCTCCTTGCGCGCAGATGAGCGCGTCCAGTCCAGTTTATTGCGCACGTCAATGAACTTCTCGTCCATGAGGCGAAGCTGGTCCTCCAGTATGCGTGCACCTTGTTCCAACTCAGCCACTTTTGCGTCCTGCGCAGCATTCTTTCGAGTCGCAGAGGCCAATTTGTCCTTCGTTTCGAGCAGCTCCTTATCCACACGACGTTGGGCCTCCACTGCGCGGGTCTTAGCTGCAGCTTCATGCTTCAAGTGCACCATAAGTTTCTCTACATGCTCTGAGAGAGCTGCAACTTTCTCACCCAGCTCTTTATTGACTTGCTCGCTCTTGCCACGCAGCTCCTTCTCGACGCGTTCACGACCCACCATCTCGACCACTTTTTCGCGCATGCTTTGCAGGTCGCGGAGTCCAGCTTGAGCAGTGTCCAGCTCGCTCTCGAGTCGTTCAGTGCGCTCAATGAGCCGCTTATTTCGACTTCGAAGCACTCGCATTTCACGTTCCAATCGTCCAACACCGCCAAGGCCCAGTGCGTCTAAGGCTGAAAAGCTCTCGACGTTAGGTAAGTGACAAGAGGATGGCTCTGTGCTGTCTTGGACTTCATCTGTCGCGGGTTCTAGCGTAGATGAAGAGCCTCCAGCAAGCTGCCACTCATGCTCCAACGCCTTCAGACGCAGGCGCACCAGCTCTTCAAGCTTCACGTGTTGGTAAAGTGAGTCATACTCGCATGTGTCTTGACTAGTGAGCGTGGGCTCAAGGCCAATTCCACGAAGTAGAACGCGACGGATATTGCCAACTTCCTCTCGAAGTTGTGCCAGCTCGGCTTTAGTCTTATCAAATAGTCCCGCCACGCGAAGATGCTTTTCACCTTGCTGCACAAGCTGCTCCGACTTGATGAAAACCTCCTGTTGAAGTCCTCGGATTCGTGCAGCATAATTGTTGCCATTGGGACCTGTGAGCGATAGCAGTGCCAGTTCATCCTCTAGTCCTTTCACGCGTGCCGTAGTCTCATCAAGTTGCTCCTGAGTCTCTTGAATTTGCTGTTCAGCTCGACGTAGCAATGCGCTTTGGTTTGCTTCGCGCACGTCCTCATTCGCCGATGCTGCTTTCAACTGGTTTTGCAAGCTTGCAACCTGTGTCTGTAATTCCTCCATTTTGCTTCTAGTATTGGTGAGATACTGCTGCTTAGCAGCAAGTTCATCTTCGTGAGCCTTCTGAGCGTCGTACTGAGCCTGCTGGAGCTGATCATACTGTACTCGAAGCGTGTCGTACTCAGCACTGAGCTGAGCGAAGCGATCGTCACGTTCATCAAGCTGTCGCTGGAGCTCTGCTTCCTGCTGCTCATGTGATGCGTCCGAGTCACGAAGCCGCTCCAGCTCTGCTTGATCACCCACCATCTGTGCCTTGCAGGTGTTAACGCTTTCTTCCAGCTGAGCTATCTGCTCCTCCAGATCAGCCTTCTCAGCGGCGAATTGCTCCTCCGCATATCGTCTTGTCTCCTCGATCTGCTCCTCTGCGTATCTCTTCGCCTCATCCAAGGCTGCGTAACTTTCACGCCACTGACCATTCTCCTCCGTTATGGCCTCAATTGTTTGAGTTAGTTCAGTAGTTCGCAGTCGCTCCTGCTCCACAGCTGCCTGCATCTGCGCCTTCTCATTCGCATGCTCTCTGTAGAGCTCGTCATTGGCTTGTCGTAGCTCGGCAATCTCCTCCTCGAGCGACTTCGATGCCATGAATACTAGGAAGCGTCGCCACTGCACACGAATGGAATCAAGTACCAGCAAAACACAACAGCTCTTGCGAAAATAGACTGAAAACTATTTTGCTTGTTGCTCCTCCTCTGCGCGATTTGTTGTCACACTCGATATTTCGCCTAGAGTTTGCAATTGCAGATCAATATCCAGCCACACTTCATTCAATTTTGCGTCTTCATCCACTACTTTCAATGCTGCGTTGAGTTCTTGCAGAATATCGCGGACCTACACAAGGATCAAGGTGTTACAAATTAGTTCCCAGTCAATTCCCTTAGCTTCACATCGATGTAAACTTACGTATCCCAGGTGAACCGGCAGATCACGTCCTACATTGCGGTCTTCTGGATGTTCTCTTTTTCTGAGAAAGTCACTTGCCTTGGCGTACAAGAGCTCGCGAAACTCTAAGTAATTAATGCCGGCGTTCGCCAGCATAACCAGTTGGCACTGCTCAACAAACTCGCGTCCGACAAGCCCCATCTCTTTTAGGTCTTCCAGCTCAAGCTCTACAGCAGAGTACTCACGCTTCAAGAAGCCCCACAACTCGCGGACGTTGTACCCGTTAAACCAGTTGTGGTTGATCGAGATTGTGTCCTCAAGGTTTTCGACTTGATGGTACCATCCGCTAGGGACGAAAACGGCGTCACCCGTTTCTTGGATGGCATACATTGGCTTTGCTTCGTGGAATTGAGGATATTGCTCCTTGTCGATATTTGCGACTGTCACGTCGGGGACGACAAAACGGCCGAAGCGATCTTTTAGTTTGGGTTCCTAATCCGCAAAACAACGTTAGATGCTATTGGGAAAATGACATGGAGAAAGTTTGAGCGTACGTCATCGGGGTGGTAGAAGATCCACTTTTTGCGGCCGCAAACGTTTACCGACCAGCTGAAGGATGATACAAGCTAATTAGATACTTAAAAAGTATCTTGGACCAAAGACGATCATAAATCCATACCTGTATGAACGAAATACATCATGGTGTAGCGGTGTCCAACTTCCAGTGGGGCCTAATCAATGCAATGCACCCAACATAAATGTGTAGGGTCGGGTACACTGGACGTGTCGGCAAAAACTCACCAAGATACACGAATCGATAATCGCTTTCGCTCTTCTCTTTGTGGTCCCACCACCTAATTGGCATATCAAACTTGTTAGTCCCCTTCTCATTCCTGCGACCGAAAGTGCTCCAGCATTATGAATAATCCTACCAATTCAACCAGTCGTCCTTGAAAAGCGGTGGCGTTCTGCAATCATCGACAGCAAGCCGCGCCATTATAACTTGTTAGCAACAACTTGTATTCCGCCAACTTACACGTAAATTTCGTGGCCGAAGGCGTGGACGAAATGCCAATCCTTGAGGTACTTCTTTCCCGCCGTTCCGTTCTCGATCAGGTCCAAATATTCCTCTTCACCACATCAACATCCTGCTATCAGTCACAGTCGCGCTCTCAATTGATGCAGCCAGCTCCTCACCGAGTCTCATTGTCCATCGATCCTCCGCTCCGTACTCCGCCACATCGCCACTCACCACCTTATTGATGCACAACATACTGCCCTTTAGGTATTCCAAAGTACGCCTAATAATTGGCTTCACTTCCTACTGGTGCCAACGCAGCGCCGTAGTGCTCCTTCAGATACTTAAAGTTGATTTTTCGGCCATCACGCCACTGCATCGCTTTGGGAAACCATGTATCCGTGACGTTTCGCAGCAACACGGGCCGGTTTGGCGCCATATAGCGGGCGCAAAATTCCTCGTAGCTCAACGTCGTTGCGTCCTCCACGTCCATCGCTCGATCAATTGCGTGGCCTTATCGGAATCAGAATAGGAGCAAACTCGGGATCAGAGGCATAACCATTTTTGACAATAATTGTTTTCAGCACCAAAATCAATTATTGTGGTTCAACAATATTTTACGATTCTAATTGACGGAATCAGAAGTGTTTCCGAAACGTCTGTCTGCTTTTTGTTTTTTGTTGAACGCGTTGGCTGTACACTCCGCGCCAAGATATTACGGCCACACACATTTTCCCCGGTAACTCCGTCAATTTTACGAGTTACGCCACGCTATTGAGATATGTTACTTGCACTGTAAAACACTTCGGAGGCTTGTTTTAACGTCTGGGAAAGTGCAGTTTAAGATAGGGCTGGCATACAAGTGACCATTTTCAACACTGCGACCAATATACGGCCACCTATGAATCTTTACTAAAATCAAGTCAACCAGAGTGATGGTCAAAGTAACAGCTGCTTTAGTAATGGGTTTTGCTACCATGCTTCTTAATGCATTCCTTGCATCGGCGAGGCGTGGATTCGATCAAGCTTGCAAGCACGTTCATCTCAATTGCATTCCACGCTTCGTAAAGAGCCACCGTCAAGTCAGCCACGGAGTTAAACTGTTTTCCATTCGCATACACAGTACGAGTCATAATTGCCGATAGGTTTTCGATGGGGTTGATGTCGGGAGAGCGCGCAGGCCAAGGAAGAACACGGAGCTCCTGCTCAGCGAAAAACTCCTTCGTTCTATAGGACCGATGAATAGACGCACCGTTTTGTTGGTATGTGAAGTCCCTGCCATAGTGCAATTGAGCGAACGGCAAGAGGAATTCGGACACAGTGTGGACGTAGTCGTCCGAGTTATGCTTGCCGCCAACTTGGTCTTGCCGACGACACCAAAGCCCGCCCGCACCATGACCGAATCCCTCCCCCCTCTTGTCGGCGCTTTGTCTGTCGAGGAGGCCGCCGCAAATTGCACCAGTAGCTTTTAAACCCATCCGGCCCGTCGAGATTCCATTTCTTCTCGTCGTAGAAGATAATGGAATCCCAGGACCGAAGAGGGTCCTTGTTCATCAGCATATCTCAGGCCCACTCCTCCCTGGCCTTCTTGTCCTCGGTAGACAATGGCAACGTGCTGTCCATCTTCGTATACACGAGCCAACTAACACCAGCAAGCGTCCGCTGGATTGTACGCACCGATACCGCCAGCTTCAGCTCTACCTTGAGCTGCCTGGCCGATAGAAGTCCCTTCCACGCCGTCCGGACCAGGAGGCGGAGATCACGATCAGAAAACGAAGCTACAGGGCCCGGCTTCTGACGCTCGTCCTGCTCTACGTAGAGCGCTCGATGAACAGCGTCCCTTGAGCGTTTCACATGGCGTGCGATCTTCCTTATGCTAAATCCTGCCTCGTAAAGACCGAGGATCCTTCCTCGCTCAATGTCCGTTAGTGGCGGCTCCTTTCCCATCAAATGCAGAATGGTACGAGCTGCGGTGCGACACTAACTGCGGTGCGACTCGCGGTCTAAGAAAATCACTGGTTATAGTTGCAGGTTTCATGATTTTGACCATCACTCTGGTTGACTTGATTTTAGTAAAGATTCATAGGTGGCCGTATATTGGTCGCAGTGTTGAAAATGGTCACTTGTATGCCAGCCCTATCTTAAACTGCACTTTCCCAGACGTTAAAACAAGCCTCCGAAGTGTTTTACAATGCAAGTAACATATCTCAATAGCGTGGCGTAACTCGTAAAATTGACGGAGTTACCGGGGAAAATGTGTGTGGCCGTAATATCTTGGCGCGGAGTGTATTGCCATCATCTTATGCTCAGTGCCCTGAGTTAGGGTATTTCCTCTTACAAGTGCTTTCTTGAGACTCGTCCATTTCGGACCGCTACACTTAGAGTTTAAATGTTGACCCAAAATGAGCGAGCTCAGATCACTTTTTCCAAAACAACTAGCTTTCTTGAGAATCAGCCATTTCGGATCACTACGTTTAGAAATTGTAAGTCTCAAAGAAAGTGTTTTCCGGCTTAAGAAAGTGTTTTAGTTTTTAGTGGTAATGGCGATCGTGCCGCCAGAAGGACCAACGCTGCAAATTAGCAGACGAAAGCTTTCTGAAGCTGACATCACAGCGATTCTTCGCGACACTGAGCTTTTGACGCTCACTCAAGGTAGGTACACCGGCAACCCCGACGTGGTAGCAATAGCAGCTAAGCACCGATGCGGGAAAACCGATGTGGGTGACGTGCTCGCCGGTAAAAGGAGGGCTGGGCGCTCTCACCGTCTCCGCGTCCACACGCCAGAAGATATGGCCGCCAGAACGCAGAGCCTGCCGGCGAGCCTCAGCTTCCGGCAACAGGCCAATCGGCTTCAGATTCCGAGAATACCGTTTGGGCGCCTCATGAAGCAGCTAGCTGAGGCTGGGCAGGTACGCAAGGAATCAGAGTAGGGCATAGATGGTCTACTAGATAGAGATACTTCTCAAATAGAAGAAGAGACGCGTATCACCATTTCGAGCGCAAGTCGCGCTATAAGGGCAGAGTTTCTGGAACGACTACGCGATGGCATGGTGACCCAAGTGTGCTTGCTTTTTACATTACAACCGATATCAACTTCTGCAAGGCGCTTATCGAGATGCACCAGCAAAAGAAGTCGGCATCGGTTATCTTCGACAGGACTTGGGCGCGCTCGTGCGAAATGGGCACAATTTTGCATAGCTATGCTGATTGCTGCTGGTATTATCTAATTTCTTATTTAAAAATATTTTTTTTACTAACTTGTTTTAGAAGTTCCTGTCCTTCACAGCAGAACCAAGATGATGCACCTTAAAGTAGTGACTATCACTTGTCCGACTTCTCTATTCTCTATGACAGGCAGTGGATCTAACTAGCGCTGCCTGAGACAAGAACAACGAAATTCTGGTCCAGGATGCGAAGCTGACAGCCAGGGAACCCGAAAATATCATTTATACCTATTTTTTGACGTGCGCCAATAAATAGCGTAAGGAAAAGCCCCGCTAGTAGAAATAAATAACTGAAGTTTGAACATAACACTAATACATTATCAGTGCAATTATTGTGCATGTTCACCACATCCTACCTAGATGCAACCGTCGACGGTAGTAACGTCCCAGTACTTATGATTGACCTTGAGAAACAAGATCATCTCGAGTGTCAGCGGAGGCGGTTGCGCTCGTAGCGTAATACCATCCGGGCCGTGCTAAACAAACGCTCGACGATGTTTGATGTCGGTGGGATTGCACCGAGCAAGACGTATGCGCTTGGTGCATCGTTCGCCTTGCGCCGTTTTAAAATTCGATCAGCGAAACCGACTTTAGTCGGTTCCTCCTGATGAACCGAAGAGGAGCACGGCGGAGAAATGGTTGCAGCGATGACCTCTCTGCACGAGTCAGCTTTTTAACTTGCGATCCCAGCACTTTCACGACACCCGACTCAAAGTCCGGTGAATGCACAATTTCAGCATTTGGTGCTGCAAACATGGACACAAAATATAAATAAATAAAAAAATAAAAATCAATTTTCCATCTTGTTGTAGACGTACCGAGATAGTCGTCAAATGATGGCATGACCTCCAACAGACCGTTGAGCAGGTCTCGCGCGTCCAGCAAATTCAAATCTTCACACTGCAACTTCATGGCGACGGACTGAGCATCGGACAGCTTGACGAGAAGTGTCTTGAGCTTGCGGTTCGCCGCCGGCGATGGCATCTCCTCGGCCAGCTCTTCGTCGTCCGCGCTGATATACTCGCGGAGCTCGAAGTAGCGAGCCAGCATCGTGTACGTTGATCCCCACCGTGTGTTCTGACGTAGTTTTGGCCGGAGAGGGGTCTTCAGTCTGTAATACAAGAAAGAAGCGTTAAAAATCTAATAAATATAATTAATATTTGTATACAAAAGGATGGATATATATAATTTACATACCTCAATTTAGCAGCTTGGGTGATTGTCCGCAGGCGCTTCATGAGGGACTGGACCTGCTCCAGCTCCTTCTCGTAGGGCTCCAGAAAACGCCGGACAGCCAAATTGAGGCGATGACTGGCGCAGCCGACAAGCGGTACGCCCATCAACCTGGCTAGCCGTCTGTTTACTGCACAATTATCCCCTACCAAAAATATGACATTAGAGAGGTCCTTACCGAAAAACGGTAGAAACGACGCCAAAGCAGAGATGTGGCTTTCGGCGTTGAGCCGGTCATCCGGCCCGTTGATAATTGAAGCCATAGAGAGCAGGGGGCAGTGGCGAACCCCGTCCTTGTCGTAGCACGCGTGCACTGCAAGGTAGTGTTCGCTGCCGTGAGTCCATCCGTCCAGAATTGCCCCAAACCGCTCCGGGAGCTCGCCGCCGATGCTCCGCTCGACCGCTTTTGTGACGCTCTCCATGTCGCGTGTTATGGTCTCTTCACACACGGTCGCCAAATTGGTGTACCTTACATAGAAATAATTATTTAGAAAATAATTAATTGGAATCAGTAAGAACGGTACAGTACCCTCGCTAATTACGTACCGCCTTGTAGACTCCATCTCCACGAAGGAGAGAGGGATGTTTCCTTTGACGATCCACTCGAGCCATGTGTGCCGATTAGATGCCTTTTGACGCACCCAAGGAAGTAGCATCCCCGTGGCAGCGGTGCTGGCGGCCTCCATCTCGACCTCAAAGTTACCGTGGTCGGACTTAACGTGGGACACCAGATTGGTGTACCCAGTTTTGGGTGCATGCTTCCGTGTCTTGCCACAGGCCTTGCAGACTTGCAGGCCAGTGGGGTCCCCGTCCTCGGTAAGATCTTAAAGTAGAAGCAGGCGATCTGCTTCGGCGTGAACTTACTCTTCGAGCGTGGCGTGGCGACAAGGGCATCAGACATGACGGTTGCGGTTAAGGTAGATTGGTAAATTTGCAAATTGCAGAATGAACATGAAAACAAGCTACAGAGCTACTAGAATCCTCAGAACCAACCACCCAACCACTGGTTCCAGTTGCCTGAGCAAAATAAATAGTGTGTCGCCGTACACAAAATTCGGAAATACGTATCCGGCATGTGTGCCACACCGAAATAAATTATTTATGGCAAAAATATAAATATATATTTTTCGTGTTCGCTGTTTGTCGCGTTTGTGATGTTTTGGTTTGCTACCTAACGTCTCAATGGAAAGTTCTACCGCGGCGTCGCCCCCCCACCCCCACCCTCTTCATTCATTGTTTCGTCTCCAAGTGTCCGTGTTCCGAAGCTTAATAAAGCCCCCAAGTCCCCACACAAATCTCTTCCATGCCTAACCTTCTGAAGGATCTCGTCTCGATGGTGTCACCATTGCGTCCTCCATGTCGATCAATTGGGTTGCCTTATCGGAATCAGAATAAGGGCAAAGTCGGAATCAGAGACTCAGAAAGCATAACCATTTTTGACAATAATTGTTTTCAGCACCAAAAACAATTATGCTGGTTCAACAATATTTAAGATTTTACCGGGTCGGATTCGGTAGGGCATCACAGACATTATATCGTTCCAGAATTTTGACATTTAAAGTAACATTAAGAGACCTTCAAGGAACAATTCTCCTGAACTTGTATGCGTCACTCTATTGATTTGTGTCAAAACTTCTGCGTTTTGTTCTGCTTCTGACGTTCATGTAGCCAAAAATGCTTCTATACAAACCGCTATATTAGGGGGCAATCAACAGTTGTTACGAATTTGTCTGCGTCTGGCGCAGAAACTACTCAACAGACTTCGTTAACCTCACCAAAAGCATTAAT